GCACAGGAGCAATGAACTGAACTACCATGTTTGATATGTTTGCATATCAGCCATATCATTAACTCTATAAAATCAAACCTCTCTGACCAATGAACATCCTAACAGGACACAAGTTCTGGGGTTGTAGGAGCACATCATACAGTGTGGATTATTACTGTAGACTGAAAGGTGTAATTCCTTTTGAATTTAATTTCAAATATAGATTTTATAATTCAGTTGTAACAGCTGTGTACAGTATTGATCAATTAATATACAGTATTTTAAATATATGTTTTAAGTACTGTAGCTCAGGATTGGGCAGTGCAGTGGCTCTGTAGCTAAGGATCTGCGGCTGTGGCTGGAAGGTTGCCGGTTCAAATCCTGTGGCCAGCAGAGGAATCCTACTGTCTTGGGCCCCTGAGCAAGGCCCTTAACCCCAACTGCTCCAGGGGTGCCGTTTAAATGGCTGACCCTGCACTCTGACCCCAAACTTCTCTCCCTGTCTGTGTGCCTCATGGAGAACAAGTTGGGGTATGCAAAAAGACAAATTCCTAATTCAAGAACTTGTATATGGCCAATAAAGTGACCTTATCATTTTCATTGATCAGAAGCAGACTTATAAAATTGGTGTTATTGAGCAGAGGTTTGGGTAGAGTTTCAATTCTAATTTCAGATTTCTGCTTCCCCATGCATAAAAGTTCAGTGACTGAACATGGCATCGTGTATCTTTCTAGCACCGCTCCCTCCACTCCAACATCACAGGTGCAGCAGGTCTCCCTGGCTCATTCCTCAGAAATGAGGAGGGATGTGACAGAACTGTCATTTCCCCATCCAGGAGAATTCAAGCAAAAGTACTAAGCATGCCATCTCTTTGTCAGCCCGTCTCATCATTAGTAGAATCTGACAGAAAAACTGAAGAAATGTTTTTAGACAATCGAGAGTGTTGTGTGAATAAAGGCCATCCTACAGCCTGGATATGCTTAAGGAATGCAAGAAACTGTAAAACACTGTTCACCAGTCTAAGTAGGAAGTAAGGGAGTTGCCTGTAAAGCACTGACATGTGTAACAATATTATTGTCTGATGTTGTTTTCTTGTACAACAGTGCTGTTCTTTTCTGTTTTGCGTGCAATGATAATTTATTCAGTAATGAAGGTGGTTCATTGTTTTGATTCATTGGAATGTACAACCAGTAATATGTGCATTGCAAAAGCACTATTAGCAGTATGTTTGTATAGACTGTACAGACTGAATTGCAAAATGATCGAGTAAAATATAATAACTTATTAGTCTTTGCTGCAATATTTAAACAAAAAAGTTAGAATGCCTATTATTTATATAATATAATAATCTATGTTGCCTGTCATTGATATACTTAGCACATTAACGGAATGTATTGCTCAAAAATTTAGTTTAATGTACCATGCAATGTGATCTTTTCCTGTCACCTCCAGTATCAGCCTGCAGACCCTGGCTTGCACCTTGACTTTGATGGGAGTCAACATTATTTGTCATTCCCAGAAACATTTTGGCTAATTGGCCAATCACAAATTTCTTAACAACCATCATCTCCACCGTCATCGCTCCTCCTTAATCTGTAGCCCACTCTTGTTAAACAAGATCTCTTAAGCAAGAAACAGGTTAGGAAAGCCAGATATGGTAGTCCATTTGCTCTCCTTGTAATGCATGTGTACTGTACCTTCTTTTTAACAAACAGCTACCTTCCCTTTTCTAATTATTATATCTAATTATAAATATGGAAACTACAGTATATACAATACAGTGTGCAGGTATTTATAAACACACATATATAAATATATACAGTATATGCCAACACAATCATGTAATGTTTTGTCAATATATAAATACAGTGTATGATATATACAGTATATGTACTGTATGTTGACATGATCCTTATGAAATGTTTTGTCTCTATACTTGCTATAGTAGAATATGTGCTGTTTGCTTCTCAAGTTCTTGATTCTGAACATTTCAGTTCCTGCTTGACAGCCTCTATTTATAGTCTGCTGAGTTGTATGCCTAAGGATTATCCTGAGAAACAGCCTCCCTGACAGAGCTCTTTTAATATGCAAACACAAAAATGCAACACACTTTGCACCATCACAGAAACATGAGCTGACCACAGACGCTTACACTAATGCTGTACCCGTGAGTGAAGTATGATTCTGAAATTTCATTTTGATGTTCAGGTTCAAATAACACTTTGTCCTGATCATGGTCATTTAGAGCGAAAATATTTTTACTCGTGTTAGTATTTTGCCTGGTGATCAAAATCAAGCCATGGGGATGGAGATGACATTTGGCAGTATAAAATGTTGAAAGGGGAATAATATTTGGGAATCACTGTAAACTAGGCTTTGCCTCTTCTAAAGCTCCTAGTCTTTTTTTTTTCATTGTGCTCCTCTGCTATAAACTAGATGTGTGTCAAATACCCATCTCACCACTCATCTGACAAGATTCAATATAGATAGGTCACATACGTTTTGTAGATTTTCCTTAGTCTCCCATATTGAGCAGCAATGGTACTGGCCAAGTAAAAAAAACTCCATAAAAAGTCAATATTCTAAGTATGCAACAAAGTCATCATAACTCTGGTTTTGATCACTCCAAAAAGCGTTATTACAGTATTTATGTTACAATTATGGATTGCAGCAGAAGTGATTATTGCCGCAGGAGTGATTAAATCATAAGTTTATGTTTTTGCTTCTCGGTCTTTTGCGCAAACATTTTTTGGGGGGGAGATAAAGACTAATATCTAGTCTTGAAATGTGTTAGTCTCTGTTTAAGAAAAAGCAATGGCTTCTTTTCAGCTCCTTATTCATCAGGTTGTGCTTTCAGTATGCTGTACAGTATGCATTTCAGTAAGTACTGTGCACTTTTATTTGAACACCATGTTCAAGAACCCGAGATAATGTTTGGCATAGCATCTTTTAATGCCATAAATATACTTCTATGTCTTGGGCTTCAGAATAAAATATTCTGTATCACTGATGTGGATAAATAAACATCCGGCTGTGTTGTAAATTCTGCAGAGCGTGGAACATTGTTGTCTTTTAGGCCTTTTGTCTGTCCATGAGCTATTAATAGTTTTGTTTTGACAGCAGACTTCTGAGCATACCATGCCTTACAAGAGATTCACACTTTGTTCTTCAATAATCCAGTTAGTCAGAAGATACTTGGTGTCTTAATTGTTCTCTGTTGTTGAATTCATTTTTTATTTTAAAATCAGTGCCAATCACTTTAATGGAAACCTTGAACAGATTTTCAATAAATCAGGTTTCAAAGTGCTTAAACAAAGACAGGCTGCCACCAGCAGACCTCTGGTATTACTATTTTCGGTTTCTTCAATTCCAATATTATTGTGAGATTTTGGAAATAATTAATTTCTGGCTAGCTATAAAGGATTGTCATAGACAATGCTGCCAACATTAATTTTCAGCATAATCTATTAACATTACTGTTCAATTGTGCTGAAGTGGACACAGCTGCAAACTACGGCTAAATATGGAGATTGCCACCTAATGCACCACCATACAGCTGGCCCACTGTAGCTTTTTGCTTCTTTCACTTCATGTCCTTTGCATACATTGTATTTCTGCTCCTCTTCTTTTTCATTCATATGTGCATTCAGGATACATTCTGACAGTATTGTTAGTTCCATTTGTAGTTTTTGTAATTAGTGGTGTTAAATGTTAACCTTCTGCCATGAAATTAAACATTTTCAGTTTCAATGTATTATTTTTTTCACTATGCTATAGTGCATCTACATTACTTAATATGGTATCTTATCATCATTTTTATATCTGGAAAAAAAAACAGTATTTACTTAGTTATTGTATGAATGGGTCTAGACATTCTCTCATCACATAAGAGATCGCTCTACCATGAAAGTAAGGTGATTCTTTTGAAACTTTCCCGTCTGTTGCTAAAGGCCAAGAGAGTGCCTGCCAGAGTATCAGGTCAGGTTTCACTTGCAAACAATTGTCCTACCTGTTACAAAAGCTGTTATCACCAGTACCAGGGCATTTCCCCAATATAATCAGATACATCTGCCACATTGACAGTCTTTTGTGGCATTTTGTGTACCCTTTAGCTCACACTTGCTCTGAAAGCTTGCTCAGTTTGACATGTGCTGATCATACATACAGCACTGAAATGAAGGCTGCTTAATCTGGCTTCAGAGATGCTATGTTCCTTCTTATTACAAAACATGTCCCCAGCCCATCAGATTCAGTCACAACATGCAAACAGCATGAGCTGTTTGTTCAACTCAAACAGTCCTCAGCAGTGCTTCTTTAACAATGACCAGCTACACTTTTTCTTAGCCAGTTGCATATTAGTGAATCTAATTACCCATTATACCCTTCCTATAATAACTACAGCAGCAGCACCAACAGCAAAAATAACAACCCAGTTCATTGCTACTAAGCTATTATGTCAGAATTGTTCTTTAACTCCCATAAGAAAATTTATACAATTGATGCAATGTTAAAGAAGAGAATTGTCACACTGTTTTGAAATTTTATTTGCAGTTCTCCAACTGTGCAGTCTGATTCTTTATTGTTCTTTTACTTAGATGTATATTCGTCTTGCTAATGAACTTTCCTTCTACGAATTTCAGAATAAAAGAATGGGTGGGAGCACTTTGTAAACTTGACTAATTGTCAAAGCAAAAAAAAAAGAATCAAAAACGAAAGAATCACAATTTTTGTTAAATCTGAAAAAAAAAGTAAAAATTCAAGCTCTGTACATTGCAGAAAAGGTCCTCATTAATTTGATCATGTGAAGTAATTATATTGGAGCCATACTTTACATCTCATCAGGATTATTTTTTGAAATGGTGTCATTTGCTAATATTAATTACAGTGAGACAACAACAGGATAATGCAGGGAAAATTTGTTATCATTTTCAATTCCAGTTTCTTGTGAATTATGCTGTCAAAGATTGGATGTTTGTCAATATATACAAATAATTATAATGTGTGTTTTCTTTAATTCATAGGATCCATTTTCATGTGCAGCACTCATATAATCCCAGTGAAGAATGAAGAAGGGGTAGTGATGATGTTCATTCTAAATTTCGATTATGTGTTGGATGAAGGAAGCAGCGACTCTTTAGAGAGACTTAACCACACCTCGCCTGCCAAATCTGAGCACCGTGAGTATCATCTATACTGCTATTTGTTTGTAAATGAACATATGCCATTGATCATGCACTTTTTAAAACAATAAACATATTTGTCCCTTTATAATAGTATACACTATCTCAGTATGATCTGTATTAGACATAGCACTAAAGAACCTGTGGGGATCTTTGTACGGTCATTGTTTACCACATAGAGTGCTTAACATACAGTATAGTATGCATGGCATCAGCAATTCTTGCATGTGGACTTACTGCCTATGCTGTCACAGGACTTGTATACAGTAAGTGGGTTCACTAGGATCAGTAAGTTAGCCCACGTATGCTCAGAAGAGTTCATGTTCAATGATTTGCCAGCTTTCATATTTATGCTGCTGTCTCAAGCTGAGATATACTGTACAAGGAGTTTGCTCCTAGATGTCTCCCCTTTGCTTCTACAATGTCCTTATGTTCTTGGAGACAAAAAATTGTGAGTGTTCTGAAAGTTTGTATAGCACAAGGCCAATACATTAGACATTACAATAGTTTCTAAACTACTACTTATCAAGCATACCATTGCTTTTCAGTTTACTAAAGTCAATCAGAAACTTAGGACTTCTCTAGAACAGTGACATTACTGTTGACATGCTTAACATGTGCTTTAAAGTCTTATATATAATTTTTATCTCAACATGGTTTCCTGGCCTTACTGTGTCCAGTCTCTTTAGATGGTGCTATAATCTGTGAGGTGACCAACTCCTAGCACAATGGGGACTTAACCCCTTTAAAAACTGTGGGTTTTGCAAAGACTAACAATTTACTCTTTATATTACCCTTCTTATTAAGTGACAAACATCAACAGATGGGGAGTCCTACACTGCTATATACAGTATCAAAAAGGTTCCCTTTCTGAATGTTGATTTAACATACAGTAATATAAAGGGTAGTAGGCTTTATCATCATGTTTTTTGGATTTATTTATGGTAATTGCCATCAAACTCTTCCATAGTTAAATTAATTTAATTTCTGTATGATTTTCAATTATTTCACGATTCTGTGATAACAACTTGGAGATGTCATACAAGCAATTCATAGGTAAAATTATTGGTGTGAAGTAAAAATATTTCTTTATTTCCAATGAAAACTACGAATATTATTCCAGCAATGATCATTGCAACAGGCATAAGGCGCATGCATTAGTTTGCAGTTGGCAAATAGTCTGTAGTGAGATTATCAAGAGAAATAAAACAGTAGCTGTATAAATTCTTTTGTTGCCTGGATGCCTATTAAATATTTAGGGTTTTGATGCTCCAAAAAAGCTGCCTTTGCTTTTGTTTGCTTCGTCACTTCTGGAATTCCTCGCTGTTTTGTGTTATTTATAGACCTTGCATTTTAGAAAATGGGTAGTTCATCTGAGGCAGTATTTATTTACTTTTCCTTATTTGTTTGTCACAGGGTGTAAATGTCAGTTGAGAGTCTTTTCAGTGTCCTTTTTGAGGTTTAGAGCAGTAAGATTGCCACTTGTTTACCACAGAATAATGGCACAACCTAGCACCGAATAAATAAAACTATGGTGCCTAAGGCATAAGGGATGTCTATAAGCCTCCCTGTGTGTTCCTCTCTGTGACTGCTCTTCAAAGAGCTATAATAAGAACTGATTGCCTGCAACTATGACTGAGATCTTCACAGAGAGGAACAAAGGACAGCAACAGAGCTGAGAATTATTGCATAGTACAACAGGACAAAGGGAAATCTTTAAGAAAAAAGGCCATGCCAAAGTGCATTCGCATTTGTTCATTCTCACAACAGTGCTGTTTTTGCTTAAAGGAAATACTAACCCTTTTCACTGACTTGCTTTTTGTGTTTAAATGTCAATGTGGCAGTTAATATTGACTTAACAGTCTTTTTTATGTGTTCATGTGTAGTAAAAAAGACATGCTAGACATTATGGCCTTCATTTCAAATTCATATTTTAGGGCATAAGGGAACAAAAAATCTAATTATTATTCTATGCAAATGTATTTTCTGGTGTCATGGCAACAGGCAAAAAATAGGCATACTGTGGAGTTTAATCCCCCCATCACTTTCTGTGTAACAGGAAGCATTCATGAACATCATAGGCAAATGTCAATAGATTTCACAGCAAACAATTCACTTTAATTAACAATAAATATTTTTTTAAATGTTAAAATACAGAGAACAAAAAAAAATCCATGTACAATTCCCTTTCCATATGCTTTGTTATATTAACAGGAAATAATGAGAATTTGAAGCTATAGTCTTTTCAAATTATGTATATAAACTTGCAACATCAATCAAAAAACACATTGCGTGTCATCTAATTAATGTCATGTAAGACAGCTTGTCTATGGAAATATTATAAACAGATGCAAAAGAACAATTTAATTGAACAAAGTATTATTACATCAAATATACAGTTTTGCATTTTTAAAATTTTCCTGGTATTTTCTATAAGTAGATTAGCTATTTACTGTAAATTCAAGCACAATATACAGCACCACTAACGTTTACCCTGGTTTTCATTGTGGTCCCCAATTTTCCTAGAGTTAATTAATAACTGATACTGAAATGGCCAAACTCGATGACTGAATTAATAAAAAATTACTTGAAATGTTATTTGATACCCTACTGTATAAAATTAGACAGTATTTCCCATCACTATAAACTGCAATTAATTAAAAAAACAAAAAAGGGAATCAGTCATAAGGGTATTAAAATAGTTTTGAAAATCACACTTTGCAAGTGTAAGCAGCACATAACCACAGACATTCCAGCCACCCATTCCAGCTGAACTACAACAAGACAGTAAAATCAGTAATGCAATATAACAGCCAAGTTAGGCCGCTGGTGCAGAAGGCTCTGTGTGCAAGAAAAGCAGATTAAGCCTTTTATAGGAAACAAAATCCACTGTGTTTTAAATTACCTTGTACATCTAAAAAGAACGGATATGTAGAAAAACAACAGCAGTATTGGAGGAGAAAAACAGTTGAGTAATTAAGAAAACATTGATTTTAATTATTTGTTAATCGTACACTTTATGGAATATAGTAAGTATCATATTTTCATCTAATGCAATTCTGAAAGCTGGAAATGAGATTACCTTATGTTACACATAATTATTTAAATAGATTGAATGCACACCACGCTGTGAGCAGCACAGGAAGGCTTGCCTTTGTTTCCAGAACTATTTTGCTTATCACATACCCAAACGTCCCTTCCATCCTGTTAATGAACCGTACTTAAAGCTCTAAGAACCAGCATGGACATCATTGAGTTAAGTATTATTAGGTTTTGTGGCCAGTCTTAGTAGATGCTTGGATGCTTGTTGGTTGTCCAAACAGTATACTGTATGTCTTTTAGATTTTTCAGTTATTATTATTTTATTCTTTGCTAGACATTCTGTAATCTAAATGTTTATATACTTTATAGTACTAAATATTTTAAGTTGCCATCATTCTGAAACACTACACAGCTGTTAACTGTTTTCAAAGATTGCAAGAATAGTGGAAACTGAAGTTTTTTTATTCTATACCACTATCTTAATTTCATTCAGTTATTACTTAAGGCTCACCTGATGGAATTATAACTCTTAAACTGCCTAGGTTATATTTTCATGTTAATGGCAGGAAGGATATTGCTCAACAACAGCACTACTGTATGTAATTAAAATAACTTAGTAGTAGACTTTCTGTTTTCCAAGAACAGTCCACAACAGTGCAGTGTCTGATTTATTCCTGGTCCACTTAGGAGTCTGTTGAATTAAGAAATTAGATTTATGAAGACTTTTCAAGTACTTTGATAACTGCAGTATCTCTATAACTCTTATTTTTCCGTACTCAGGGTACAGTTGCATAAGTCTACAAGCATCCATGAGGCAACATCGGTTGCATGCTTATATATTTTTTCTTATTGTTGCATATGTTAAAAAATGACTTAAATGCAAGTGTCATGTTATTTTTTAGACAGCTGTAATTTCAATTGCTCAAATAACTCACACATCTTGGGAGTCATCTCACTTGACCCCGATCATAATCATTCCATTTCCAGGAAGCCATTTCCTGAAAGCTATAAACTCATCATGGATGAGACAATTTTGATCTCTGGCAAGAGTCTTTGTTTCCTTGTAACTAGCCTGCTACTGTATCTTCTCCCTCGGTCCCCTGCCTCTTAGTCCCATCCAGCTTCATCGCTGAAAGAGAAGTTTTCTCAAGCTTCTCCTCTTCCCTATCACTCCATCTGCAAAACCTTTCTCTTCACAACCATCTCCATCAGTTTCTACTCCAAACCCAAGCCCACATCACTTCAATTTCATCAAACTCTTCAAAAACATGGCATCTCTTTTCAAAAGAAAAACCTTGAAAAATAATTCTTTTCACTATACTTGTTCTTGGTCTACAATAAACAGGCCTTGGTATTTCATCATACGTCCACATCTTGTGACCCAAGGACACTTGAGCTGACTCTACCTGCCAGGTCTTGTGTCTCGTCCATTTACTTCTGTTGCTTCCACTATGTTGACTAGACTAGACTAATAATCACATGTGAACACACCCGCAGTTAGACCATCCTGAAAGACATCCATGTGTGTAATGCAGACATTCAGAAGAATACATTATTTGTTGTGTAAAATAAACCAATGGATTTCGGAGGCCCAAATATAATGGTATGGGCAAGGGTATCTAGATTCCATAAAACTACCTTTTGTAGCGATTGATTGAGAGGTACAGTAACTGCCTGGGGTCCTTTAATCATGTCCTGTGACCTCACCTGCTGCCTTTCCTGGGAGTTTCTTCTGACATCACAACATTGCAGCAGGACACATCCTCATGCTGCTCATGTAAGAAAAATATAAGTTGGGATGACATGTGGCATCTAGAGCTTAGAGCCCAATAAACAGACATACTACTGTATATGTTGTACAGGCTCTATGAGAGGAATGAGACAGAATCCCACAAGATAACTTCGGCAACCTGATGAAAAGAATGTTGCGACTCTACAGCTTGCTAGCTACAATGGCTACATGCACTACTAGCCTGTGACTTTCACAATAGACCTCCTCTTGATTCACCCAGTTGATGTCAAATGTTAATCAGTATAATTAATTTACCTACAGTATGTCTTCCCTGTACATTAAAATGTCAATAGGCCTGTTATTTCGGTATGAACTAATAAGGTTTTGTTAGGGTTTACTGTTTTCATCAGAGTGGATTTTTGTTGTATCATTTGTAAAATGGCTGGATGCTTTAATTTATAGTTTATCTTGTGGACGATTACACATCTATGATACATTTGTTATACATATCTACTGTATGTTACAAATAAATTGCATTTCTTTCCAATGGAAAGCGACACTCTCTCCTAGAAACAAGAGGCACTTTTTTTTGTGTATTTGCTTATGATCGTTAACATACTGTAGGACTGCTGTTGTCTTGCAGAGCACAGAAGAGATGCTGGCAGCGTAACACATCCAGGAATGTTTGTGACGTTTTATTATTGATCATTATAGGCAAAACATCAGTTGGAGGATACATGCGTGGCTTCACTTTCACATTTCTTTTCTCAATGAATATGGCTTGCTTTATGTGCAGAACCATGATTAACTGCTATGAATCTGAATTTTGCATATATTTATTGTAGACAGCCTCTAACCTCATTAGCGGTAGTAGTAGTTATATATGGGCATAACATTTATCTTTCAGGCTGTGTTCTTTATAGCCACAAAAAACCAATAGCAGTTATACGGTTTAAGGTGTAAATGTCAAACACAAATTGATGTGAATATCATAAAGGGCCCTCCCACATTACAATAGATACCCTTCACAGAAATGAGAACTAAGATGTATGCAACATAGTTTCCAGCACAGAAAAGAGCATACTTGAAGCACAGGGTATCTAGCAGTCTGGTCTATAGTACATAAAGCCATACATACAGGATGATGCAAATGTCTGATATTTTTGCCCCCAGTATCAATTTGTTGTGAACTCTGTTATGCCTTTTATAGCTATACTATAACTTTAATATAAAATAGTATGTTATATACTAAAGTTCGGACATTTTGAAATCAAAAGTCATAGAAAGTTGGTATGTTTTGTTTAGATTATTATTAACAATACTTTAACAATACTTTATGTTCGTAGAAATGCAGCTTTACAGTCCAAATCTTAATATTTCTTTCTTTTAAATAGTAATTCCTTTCTTAGTTTGCTACCTTTAGAAACATTGCATTACCAGATTTCAATTATCTCAAAACTAAATAATGCATGAAACCTCAAAGAAAAAAAACCCAGAGGACTTTATAGAATTTGTTTGATCAAGACATGTTTAAAAATAGCTTTGGTAGAAAGCTTCTAATTAATAATAACAAGGCTGCGAAGTATCAGGAGAGTCAGAAGAATACAGCATGTTACTTCCTCATAAACAATGTTTTAATTTGTAATGTATTTTATATGAAATACAATCTTATGCTGAAGATATATTGTATTTTTATTAAATATCTTATAGAATTTGTAAATTTATAAATCTTCTGTCAGATATTTAATTTCTCTATATATTTTAGATTAGAAAGATTATGTTTTACCTTCAGTCATTTTAAAACCACTGTCAATAAAAGCTGACAATTTAGAGTTCCTTCATCACAGAAGGAGACAAATTGTTAAACATTACAGTTTTATTGTGAAAAGGTACAGGATGTTTTCTTAGGCACGGATAATTGTTCCGAGATTTTAATTTTCTGTTACATAATCTCATCATAGAATCCTTGAGGCAATTCATAAGGTCAAATTTTAAATGCTACTGCCTTTGATGAAGTGAAGGTCCTGCAGTCTTTGGTAAATAGAAAGAGAAATTACTAAATTTGAGAGCTTTAATTCAGCAGTACTGATAATAGCTTCGGTCTGTACTAAGACTAATGATCCTTTAAGCCTCTAAATGTTTTATATACGGTATACTGTATATACAGTAGAAAACAAACTATAAACTATGAAAAAAGCTTTGCAGCAAAATATTGTTATAAACTGGGTGTGTTAAAATTTCAAAATTAGGAGGTTATTGCATCAATATAAAATAATTCTCCCTTTATGTAAGTAGTAATGAATAATCATTTAACCAACATTTTAAGTCACGTGTATTGAGTGTTACAGTATGTGGCATGTGTTTTCATTATTTTCCAGCACATCTTGATAGTAAAGTAATAATCATCCTAAATATATGAAAATATTTATTAACAATAAATAACACAACAGTACAAAATACAATGTTACAAAACATATAAAGTTACCATTATGAACAGATATGTACACATCATTGAGTTCCACCTTCTATTGATATAGAAAATCCCAGAATTCCATACTTATAATCTAGGTACAACAAAACAATTTAAGGGACCAAAAAGAAACTGGGTGCTAATAAACAAAATTGGTGGCAACCAGCTTCCCTATTCTAAATAAAGGCACCATTAAAATGAGAGACATTTTTAGCCCACAACAGATCCTCAACAAATTCTATCAGAAAAACAGCAAGCAACTAACAGCAAACTCTTTTATATAATGAGGCTCAGAGTCCTGTACTCTTTTGGACTTCAGATTACCTGGGCAAAGTCTGGTTTCAAGTCTGATTAGAAAGAGGCACCCCATTGTGGCACACACTGATGATGATGTTTGTTTTTCTTCCTCCTGTTCCTGGTCCTTTGCTTTTCTAGTCCATTCATGTCTTTTTGTATTTATCCTGTCCCAAGAATCCAATCCAAGAATGTTCTGGTCACTCACTGTTGAATATTTGTAAGTTTTAGTATGACTGAGTTATTGATTCAACAGTGAATCACTTTCTCCTGCCTTAATTATTAGGGACACACCTTTACACATGTGTGTCTTCCTCCAAGTTTATTTGTCTAATGGCCCAAGAACAGCTACTTACTGTAAATGCCATTCAAACCATATCTCAAACCTTCAGAGTAAGGTAATCAAGCTGGGAAGTGTAAACGAGCTAATCCTGGCTGAAATTCAGTTACACCTATTTACTGCAGCAATATTTTAGGTAGAATGTATCTTGATAGAATATGTTGGGATATGAAGATATGAATTTGTTTAAAAAAGAAACATTTTTGCTTTTGTTTTAAACATTATGTAGTGAGCAGTGATAACATCACTGGTTCTGTTGTTCCAATGTTTAATATTCCTTTTCTAATTTGAAGATTAAATGTTTTTTCTCCTTTTCTCAGGCACATTTATGGTAGAAATATTCTGAGACTCTGTGAGCTCAAGAAAACAGCTATCCAAAATTATGGACTTCCATTTGTTTTTTTTTTTATGTTGAGCAATGTTTTGGATCATTAATTTTGTTCTGTTGGCTTTTACACTTTGTCAGTGTGAATAAAATCTTTCAGTACTAATAAAATACAGTATGAATATTGTGAGCAAATATTTATAAGGTACAATGTTTGGGTGGTTAATTTTCATTTGATTTTTTTGTTAGGAAAGGGAAGATTTTTCAGATTCAGATTGCCCGTCTTGAAACTTCTGGGTGCCAGCAAGCAGTCTCTCCCGCAAGAAGACCCAGATGCTGTTATGATTGACTCTCCAAAGCAAAGCGATGACTCTGTTGCCATGAAGCACTTTAAATTACCCACAAAGGAAAGTTGTAGCCCCTCAGATGCTGAGGATACAAAGGCACTCATTGGTTCCAGTCAGTGCCCACCTCTGGTGAATGTGTCAGGACCTCTGGATCATTCTTCACCAAAACGGCAATGGGACAGATTGTATCCAGATATGCTCCAGTCTACCACATGCCTAGCCCATACAAGATCAAAGGAGAGCATCTGCAGCATGAGAAGAGCTTCATCTGTCCATGATATTGAGGGCTTTAGCTCCAACACTAAGAATGTTTTCAGGGATCGACATGCAAGCGAAGGTAACTCTTGAAATAATTAATTATACACATTCAAAGGTATTGTAAACACAAAACAAAATCTTTCATCTGGAGGAGGAAAGAAGAATTTCAGTTCATTTATTACATTTTGCAGCACATAAGAGATATACTGTAGTTATTTGGTGGGCTGCACTGGAACAAAAGAGGGTAAAATCTCTTGTGCTGCTTCAGCATTGTCTTTCTGATGCAGATATAAGAGACACTCTTATTAATACACATGCTGGATGTATGTATTTTGTTGGAAAAATGCATATTCGACTTAATGAATTCGTTTTTTTTCTATATTCATGTTGGATAAAGAATACGTGTAATTAGAAACATTAATATAACAACACAGTGTGATTCATAACGCATAGAAGGGTGTTAATTCATCACCTAGAAGGGGATCCTGGAGAAGATGATGCTGGATCACATACAGTATAGAGTGTGGTTTTGCTATGGTTTGATTCTTAAGATCTAAAAGTCTACTTTTAATATCTGTCTTAAGATTAGGCTATACTATTTTCCCTCCTTTCTTCTTTTCAATTTTATTGTGTTGTTTTTCAGACAATGGTCGCAATATCAAAGGTAATAGACATATCACATTCTTGGGATATATTAGACCGCTTGCTGCATGTATTTTATACAATGCAACTAATATAGGAAAATGTAGATTACATCAAGACATAACTACCAAATGTGATGTTGTTATATATATTTTTGAGGATGTTTCATGAAAACCTTTGTTTGTCATCTACATCTTTCCTGTACTGTACAAATTTGGACTGCTAGTGAATGTCTCTATAAGCTTGCAGATCCCTTTGCTCAGTATTAACAAATTGACCCCTTTGTGATGCTGCATGAAAAAAATGAGGCTTGCTATTAACTGGCTTTTTGCAATTAAAAAAATCAATGAACATGAATGCTATCTGTCTTCATTATTCCAATTCCATCCTTAAAAGCTAAATTTGTTTTAGCTGTGATTAATGAAAGTTGTTTTTGTTTTCTTGCTCTTTTCAGCCACACTCAATTTATTTAGGCCTTCATCTACGCCTCTGTTAAATGCTGCTGAGCCTAATGTGCAGCAAAACTCTGCTCTTACATGCTAAGAGTTAATATATAGAACTCCAACATGGTTTTCTTTTATGATCACTGAGAATCTATGATGGAAAGGGTACTGACCAATAAATGGCAATTTTACATCACAAGGTCATCACAGACGCATCTACACTCTATGATCCATGTTGGATTATGTGTGTACATTCACAGCTCTGAGCTACACGGCAGTTTCTAGGCATTCTAGACATTGGCATGAAGTGCAAATATACATTTCTATTTTTAGAACAAATGTAAATGCTACTGTAAATGATTAGTTTTATTTCTCACACTTCTAGCATGAAAAATAAATGTGACACTAATTTTTGCAAAACGCATTGGTCTGGTCAAGTGAAATTTTGTGTTACACCAAGAGAAGACTAACCCTGGAGGTCCAACTGTACTGCTCAATGCTATTCTGTATAATAATACATTTAAACTCTTCATCACTTATTCTTTACACCCTTTTCCCCTTTCTTTCTCCTGAAAAAATAGTTTCCCGTTCCTGGATGGCAGGGGGTATGGTTTGAGTTTTTTCTGTGTTTTGACCACTTAGCATGTGATTGATTTGAGCCATTTAATTTGAATGTAAAAATTGTTTGTTTTGCTGTCCTTGACTATGTACTCTCACCCAAGCGTAATAGCAACATTATCATCCTTGAGAAAGGGAATGTTGTTTTATAAATGTTTGCTTTGGAGGCTGTTCATTGCCAGTATCCAATCAACTGCTTGCCAAAGCATACATGATCTGCTTCTTTTCAAGCTGCTCACCTTGCAGTGAATGTGCTTGTTTACATATGGAACATACTGTATGGGAAATAGTCTGCTTCCTAGATATGTCTCTTACTCTGGTACAGTCCCGACTGTCTCTCATCCTTCAGAATCACTGAACTTGGAACCAAACATGAGAAAATAGGGGAATATTCTTTATTAAACCCAAGCCCAACATGAATAGTAACAATGAAAATCCAAGATTATGTAAGGGTGAATATAAACTCCTAAAGGGTTGCAAAATCAATCAGTTAAACCAATATAATCAATGGATATTGTTTTCTTATTATACAGTGATTTATTGATAGCTACAGCATAATGTAACCCATGAAAAACTTATTCTGTTGACAATATTCAATAGAAGGTAAATTATTTTGAATAAATTATTAGGAATAAGAATTAATTTTACTTTCACATTTTTGATAAACAGGCATAGATTGACAAAAGCAAATGTAATAGATACTGCCATAAAGAGATTAGTAAATAAGTCACTAGCTCTGTTCCCTGCAACTAAATGCTCTTAAGCTATAGAAACCACCAGACTCACACCTACAGGATATTTGAGTCTTTGATTTCTGTATCTTTTTCCATTCCAGGTCCATTCAACCATATCAAATCAAGTCTGCTGGGCTCTACATCAGATTCAAACCTCAACAAGTACAGCACTATCAACAAAATCCCTCAGATAACACTGAACTTTTCTGATGTTAAAAATGAAAAGAAGGCAGCGTCTCCTCCTTCCTCTGAGAAAACCATTATTGCACCAAAGGTCAAAGACAGAACACACAATGTCACAGAAAAGGTTACACAGGTAAGATGCTTTTGTAAATGCTTCCCTGTTGTATTGTATTTGCTTTTGGTTTTCTGAGAAAGTGTTTTTTTCTACATTTTTCTACATATCAAAACATTTTTTAGTAAGTTTAAAATGTACAGTTCTTGTTAGTGACCTGGTATCAGAACAGAAATGCAGTTAATTTATGCTTTACTTTACACTCCCTGTGGATCCCAAAAAGATCCCCCAAAACACATTTCAAGAGCAAATGTTCATAGGAATGGAAAGCATGTTTAATACAGGCTTGAACTTGGTTTGATCTAGCAGATTCAAATGCAATGTTTTAGAGAAATACTGATAGAGAATGAACAAAGTCAATGAACAAGTCCAGATATCAGATCCTAACTAGCTTGTGACTGAAACTCAGTTGTAGGGTAGCAGAAGACACTGTGGTTACCCAGAAGAGTAGCTTGATATGAAAGAAGGAATGAACAGGTAGAGGGTTCATTCTTGCTGAACTTTGCTAGAAACTAAACAGATGAGGATGTCTTGGAAACAGAACCCTCAAAAGAAGAAGCTACATTTGAGGGTGAAACCTTTAGGTGGGAAAAGTCAAGTCAAGGGCCAATACCACAATAGTTGGACATCAAGGGAGGAGGGCTAAAATGGGGGGAGTGTCACCATAGTACGGTAGCTAAGGCAGCTAACAGGGTACAGGCATTAGGGACAGATAGGACTGTGATCAAGAAGACCTGGACTGAATTCTGAATTGAACCGTTCACTGAAATTAGACAAGGTCCATGACATGCTTTGACATCATGTTATTGTTTGCCTGGTCCATAACCTCATCAACTGCTTGTGCACTTCAGCCACAGGGGTTTGACTGACAGATCAGGGAAACTAGTAACAATTGGTCTCATCAGCACCCTTGGAAGCATCCTTTCTTGGGAGAAGTGGACCACTGGGATGTGATATTGGGTTATAATAATGAATAAAATAATCATCTGCATTGCATTCTATAACAAATTCATATGTTTTACACACCACTTAACATGCATAGATACAAAGAGAGACTTGAAGCTCACTGAGTCCCACAGGCCTGTAAGACAGCTCAGTCCATTACTAGCAAGAGCTTTCCCCAAAGTCCTCTCTCTCCTTTCAGGATGGAACTTAAACACAGACTGAAACCTTTTTTTTTGCCAACTGCACTTATAAGCCTCTTAATTAGCCCATAATTCCATGCAGAGCCTATCCTGACAGCTCCTGTCCCTCACGTGGAATCCCACTCCCTCTGGGTGCTAATTAGATATTGAGCCTGCCTCATTGTGCAGGTGTTCCCAAATAACACACAGCCCTCTTTGGCTCAAGGCCACCTCTCACTACCTCACAGGGGCAGTTACCTATACCTGTACAATCTCTCCCACTGCTAAAGGTGGAGGGAACCCCTCACCTTTCCAGGATGGGTACCTACAGTATGGTGATATATTACCTAAAGGGTAAAATTTTTACTTGATTAAAAAATTAAATTTTGTACCTTTTGCTACAAGAACCATCATACAAAAATATTCTTCTAAATGTTAAATAGAGTAGAGTTTGATAATATAGCAAAAGTATAATACTGGATAATTCCCAGTAATTTTCCTATACTTAGGATCAGAATAACATAGTCAAGATACCCCATTATTGCAATTAAGGTTTTATTACCTTTATTACATTAGACAGCTCTATCTACTAAATATTATATTTCTAGGAAACACCTTCAGAATAAAAAAAGAAACATAAAAGATGACCTTCATCTGAAATAGAAAAGTTATATTATTTTATTGTTATATTTAAATAGTATATGCTATATTTTCATAGTGCTAACCTATCAGGCATATCACTTATTCTTACTTTGCTAATTGAGTAAGAATATTAGATAATAATGTGTTGTTTTGATTAAATACTGTTAAAAAAAGAGTCTGTTAAGTACACTAACAAAATGTAAAAACAAGACAACTATTTATTTCCTCTTTTGAAGAATGCAATATATCCTGTACATACATTTTAGCACTGTCTTATATACATATGCACAAACTAATATATGCCCTAAAGTATACTGTATGTGTAGATACAGCCACAAATCAATTTTAATATCTCTTTTCCATTCATTTATATTTCTTATTGTACCCTCAAGTACTTTCAGTGGTTTGAGAAGGTTGCATGATATTGTATGCATTCTACTGTATATGTATTTACTGGATCTTGGAAGCTTCATATGTAATTTAAAAGCATTGTTTTCAATCTATGGATCGTTCATTTTACAAGAAGAGAAGTGAATTTGTTGTTGTTAATCTGAAAATGACATCCATTCAGAAGCTTACAAGTTATTCATTGTCCATCCTTATTGTATTGCATACTTAGATGAGAGAATATCTGTGACTCAGTAAATTAATTTTTACAATGTTCCCAAGCCTGCAGTTTAGTCATGGTCAATGTACTTGAGATCTCAGCATAAAAACAAATCCATTCATCTTTTTTCTAACTGATTTATTGAGGGTTATGAAGGAGTCTGAGGCTCTCCCGGCAAGCAACAAGCAGAAGACAGGATACACCCTGTATGAGATTCCAGTCCAGGGCCCATACAAACACAAATTACACACTCACACCAAAGCCGATTTTCCCTGAAGCCAGTTGACTGGCAGGAGACCAGAGCACCCAGAAGAAAGCCAGTTAAACATGGGGAGAACATGCAGGTAGCACCCTAGGTCCAGAATTGAACCCAGGGCCCCAGTGCTGCAAGGTACAGTAGCAATGCTAACCACTATGCAACTGTGCTGCATAATCAACAGACAGGCATATTTTTTAAAGTCTCTTATCTTACTTTAAAAAATAGCTTTTACATTTCATCTTGAATTATCTTACTTGATCAAAATATATTATAAAATGATATTCTTTTGAAGGAAATGGGTTTGGCTTAAAAAAAGTGCAAAAACCTGTAGGCTAATTTAATTTGTTTCTAGGAGGTGTTTAACTTTACACAGGCAATTGTAAAAATATGTTTTTCACTAAACGAAACACTTCAGTGCATTGGGGTCCAATCCTGCTCCCAGAGAGCCTGTGCATCTGCATATTGTCATTTCAGTTCAGCTTTTAGCAGGCTAAACCCACTGGTTACTTGCCTAACTGGACCATTTCAACAGCTTATTTTCTGGTGCTGCTGTTTTAAAGAGACCTTGAAAACCTGCAGACACGCAGGCCGTCGGGGATCAGAATTGGACATCCTGCGTTAGTGCAATAGAGGCAGATGGCAAACCTTTTCTTAAACATTGTCCTTTTATCTTATCGGTGTTTTGGCATGTACTCTAAATCTTATCCTACTATCAGATGACTGCAAATTCATTTCCAGGCATCTGCAGTTCTTAGAGCTTTTCTTGATTTGACAGCCTCTGCCCACAGAGACATTTCTGCAGCTTGAGAAACAGATGGATGTTTGACAGGGTGAGACTTGAGAGCACCTCAAGATGGATTATGTATTTTTTTTCTTTTTTGCAGCTTTATGTCCATTTATTTTTTCATTACCCTTCCAGGATACAATTCCAATGTTTTCCTTTTTTGAACATAATGGCTGGAGTTATAAAAGTATTTCATAGGCAGGCAAAACATACACATGTTAAGCATGTTTCAGCCTATGCTGATAATGCATTTACTATGGTGTAAAGAAATTACTAGTGTACTTCCTTAACCATCAGAAAATGTAAGATTTAGAAATCCAGAGTTCAATTTTTTGATTGTGGAGAAGGATGACATTTAGTTTGGCATATATTGTGCACATATCTTCAAACTGGAAGGGGTCTATTTGGCTGAAATATAATTAGGTGTGAAGAGCTAATAGTTACATACTGTATACTGTATATATTTATGAGTTTCCAATGACTTAATGTTTTAACATACAATATCTGTATTTCTTGAATGAATTGAAACAAAGGCCTACGTTTTCTCAAATGACTGGAGAACATCAGTACTCTCATTAAGGCACTGTCACTCCTTGGAGATGAGGGACTGGGACCAATTATTTGCTTTTTTTTGGGCTGAGACAGCAGCAATGTAAAAAAAATTGACAGGTATAATTTGAGGTATGCTTTCTATCTATAGGGTAATTGCAGATTGTGCAGCCATATTTATGTTATGTCTTGTATCAAGGCTGCAGAACACTGTCATTCGAGATATGAACTTCCTAGTAAAAATGAAATGCCACTCTACATTTTATAGCCTGGAGTACAAAACTATTTTTTTGTCTCGGTACATAGAAACTACTCTTTTTGTGGACCTATAAGAGAAATATATTATTCACCCATTCTTTTTCTTTTCTGAAACCTGCTTAAACATCAGAGTATTTTTCATCCATCTTTTTTTGTTATTGTGTGTTATTTATAACGAACATTATAACCCTTAATAACTCTTTCACTGACTCTGTTTCAGATCATTTAATCCAAATATTGTAAAGGTTGAGTGTTCAAAGCATTCAAATTTACCCTAAATTAATTCAAGGTAATTAACAATAAGATACATTCCCTATTTTATTTTTTTAAATTCCAAACAACTTTCACGGCCTCTGATCTAGGTTGGTTATATGCTGCGCATTCTTTTTAAAACTTATTGTGTGGACTACTTTAGTGATTTTAAGGTCATTGAGAAGCATCTGGACACTTTAATGGATTAAATATAGTGTGTGTGTAGTGTAATACTGTGACTTTTTCATGTAGAATGAAATACAGAGCATAAAAATGTAATATAATGCTCCTTTTACACCACTCTGACCACAGATATTAGTTCTTGTTGTCTGTAACATCCTGGCTGTCTTCACTTTGCTCAATGTTAAAACACAAAGGTTTATCTGGTGTCTCTGATTGTGTTTGACTTAGTTATTTGGTATTCTAAGAAAAATGTAATAATCTGAGCAGTTTTGCTCATTTTGCTGAGACAGACTTTGTGTATAAAATGACTAGAATGTACAGCAAACAGATTTTTGGATGTTTGCGTTTTTAATCATTGAATTGATATGGCAGATTTTTTTTTCTCACTTTTTATAAAAAAAAATGCATTAAACTGTATTTTTATATTTACTTATTCTGGGTTAGTGACATTGGTAGTTACCTAAAAATCCAGTGTTTAGGTTAGATTAATGTGTTCATTTATTATTTCATTAATTTGTTTCCTAGAATAATTTCATTAAGTAATAGCTCTGCCACCTTTAATTTAGCTCACACCTCAGCAAACTCATCAGTTGCTCCTAAAGAGATGTATTTAAATCAGCATTGTCTGTTTTATGGCCTGTCTTATATCACCCAGAAACAGCACAGGGTTTATTTTCACCCATAGGCTTGTAATTCTGTGTGTGTTTGTTCAGAAAATGACATTTCAGGTTGCATGCTGCTGTCTTGCTTCTGCCATGAAGAAAAATTGAAAGCAGTTTTGACATAATCATGCTCCTTGTTTTAGATAAACACTACAAAGCACATACTGTGGGTAATAGCTGTGACAGGTTGACAGTGTAAGGCATTACAGACGTACACATATTGTACATTATAGACCTGGAACAGGCATTCAAATTAAATATTAAAATAGTCAGTCTGTACCTAAAGATGATTCTTGTCTAAAGTGCAACATCCCTGATTAAAATAATGTGACTGTACTTATGTTTTTTGATCACTAGTCTAGTTGATCATGGAAAATTATTAATTGTTAATTGCTGAAACACAAGGGAATACAGTTATAATGTTAATATGTTAAAATACATCTGTCTTTATCAAATATGCTTTATAAGCATCAAATCATGAAAACCACCATAAACTGTTCAGGCTTGACATTATTAAGCAAAACAATATTTTTTTTCCAAAGAATAGCAGACAATAATTTTTATTTCAGAGGCCTCTAGGGACACTATCAGTACCAACAAGACACACAGCACTGTCCATTTTGTGTAGACAAAGAAACACTATCTAAACTCTTTATGGCTTATCTATTCACTGATAAGGCCTGCCAATAATCTGTCACTCCATACAAATTATTACCAAAAACACACTATTTCTTGTGCTGGAGTGTCCTGTCTTAAAGCTGTTGCTAGGAAGAAAGCAGGATCAGAAAATAGAATGATTCCGCAGTTTCAAAAGTTCAAGGACTGGAGAAGAGCATCTTCACACTTAGAAACCTTATAAGAAGATATTGTATAACAAGATGCATCTGGACTTCAAAGTGGAATGCCTCACTCAGAAAAGTGATTCTTCCACCAAGGCTAAAGCAAGGACAAAAATATTCTATTTATCTCTTTTTTTATTCGTTCCTAAGCTGGCTCATGCAAAACAAAAATAGACACTACACTAGATAGATAGATACTTTATTGATCCCGTGAGGGAAATTGCAGTGCAACAGCAGCTTAACACACACAACACAGCCACAGTGTAACGAATTATATACTAATAGTACAATACATACAATACAATACAAGAGTTACTCACAGTCCGGACACACAAGAGGAAACTAGAACAGAACAGTACACAGAAAATCGTATCACACGTATGAATATAAATATAGATGTAACCATAGATATAAATATAAATATAAATGTATTGCAAAGGTCCCTGGCATATATTGTACAAAAGTGGTTGTAAACGGGAAAAAGAAAAAGAAAAAGAAAGAGAACAGATGTAGCAGTAGATGTGTATATGCGTTTAGTCCAGAAACAGGTCACTGTCGCTGTTGCCTCTGCCAAGACGCAAGGTGGATGCGTTGTACAGTCTTATGGCAGACGGCAAGAATGACACTACACTACAGCATCTAAAATAACCACTCTTTTGATGTGACTTCCAGGTGTGTTGAGGGGTCTCCTTCTTGGGTTTATGAAGCTTGTGAAAATGAATGGTATAATTTACTGTGATTTTTTTTAATTGTTTTGGAGTAACTTGCAATTCTAAGTTGGTTTTCGGTAACTATAATAACTGTTTACAAAGAATTAGATAAATTTGGTTTGTTTTTCCCAGCAGGCAGGCACATAATGAAATTCAAAAACAAAACCTTCAGAAAGAAGGGATTAATTTGGAGCACGATTCGTGGATTATGTACTGCAAATCTCTTTACAGTAATGTTTAACAATTATATCATATTCAAACCAGCAGTAAAACAGTTTAATTGCATTTGCATTGAGTAGTTTTTTTTATCTGAATCCCTGTTGTGCTATAAAAAGTCTAAACCTAAATGTTATGACTACTCTGTTTTGTATGTTGCCAATACTACGTTTTCACTATATAGTACACAGTACGTAAAAATGTTGTTCATGGTCTGTAAACTGCACATCATGTATTCTTTTCCTCTTAAATGTTATCTTCTCTGTCTGACCAGAAATAAATATGAGTGCAGTCCACTTAACCAAATTGGATGTTTATAAACCATTTTGATTTCCCTTTGGAATGCCTGGTGCTCAGTGAGAAAAAACAGATGTAGTTCAATACTAGCTTTTATTCCCTGACGTGTAATTACCAGAAATATATACAAGTGAAAGCAGTTCGTCTCTGGGAATCTGTTCCATCTCAAAGGCAGATAATTATTCTTATCATTATTACGGCGATAGATACAAACGAGAGGAGGTCATTCAGCCCTTTTTGGTAGTTAGTAGTTAATTGATCCAAGGATCACATCCAGCCCTTGCGTGAAAGAAACCAGGGAATTGGCGTCAACAACATGGCTGAGTATTGTGTTCCGTACTCCCAGAAGCCATTGTGATCCTTAGATTAAAAACATTTATAAACATTATTTAGCTCTTACAAAACTTGTATTAAAATCAGCATAGCAGATATGAAACACACACATATACTGTACTGTATATAGAAAATTCACAATAATTGTCATCAGATGCTTTTTTGCTTCCAATTTCCTCTAACTGAATAATGCAATTCAACAAGACTAACACCAGAAACTAACAGAAGAAGGTCATGTAAGTATTTTCCAGCTAATTGCTTGAAATAAGCACCATCAAAAATCTAAATGTGGTTTTGCATTTTCTTTTTGCAGCAAGTGAACTATAACATAGAGATTTCTTGTGTTATTTGTATTAGATAATTTACCATGGACCCTGTAGACTTTAAGTTCATCTTCAAAAGGGCCAACTAACTTATCATTTACAGTATAGGACATGACTGCCTAATTTAATATGTTCCATTTAGAAAGACCTCAAATCCCAAAAGGATTTAAGTCATGCTTTTTAAATACTCTATATAAATATGTAATGTGATCAATTTATTAGAGATGAGAATTATGTACTAGCTAATACACAAGAGGAGTTAGAAGCTGGTGGGAGAGGGATAAGGAATATGAGAAGATCAGTAAGAGCTGGGTTGTAAATGTTATGCAGTTAAAGAGACAGAATTATTTGTGTTGCACGCACAGCTGCACACCCCAATATCAGTACCTTATTTCGAATGCATTTTGGAGAATGTTACAGTACATCACTTTGCATGGAAACAAACACATCTATGACTAGCAACAGAACAGACAGTACAGTAGGTGGCAGTGCAGGTTTTTACCATTTCTGTTAAAAATAACCTACTTCAGTTAGGTATATATTAGGGTATTGGGGCCTCAGAAGTTTTAACTGGTAAAAGTGCTTGTCTGGGTTAAGGTTGAGCTTGGCCTTGTGTTGTGTCACTACCTGACAATACAATTCCCCAATTACTGGTGCAAAAAATGACTGAAGGCTGTTGAGATTAGGGTTTGATTACTCAACCTGGACTCCCTTGGCTCCCATAGGACCCCTGCAGTCTTTAGTTGTAGGTTAAGCCTTGCTAGCAGTGAATGGTGTGCCTCTCCTCCAATCAGTGTTAAACCTCCTGTACAGGGCCTACGTATACAGGGCATATGCTAAAATGAGTTGCTTGATGGTGGGTGGGTAGGACTTCCTCTTTTTCTCCTGTATGAGGTTGCAGAGACTGTTTGTGAGAACCAAGATGTAAAAAACACACAATTGGCAAGTGCAAAATTGGTTAGGAATAACTAACATAATTGGCGATTCAAAATTTAAAATGAATAAAAAATGTTGAGTTGCTTCACAGCTATAGCTCTACTTTCAAATGGTTCGGATTTAACCTGGTATTTTCAGTGAGTCTGTAATGACATTAGTGTGACAGTCAAGTTCCTTTCCAATAATTATGTTTCAAATTCATTGTTTTTTTTAAGATTTTGTGCTGCAGAAAAACAAAATATTTAAATCTGAAATCCTGCACGTTTGACAGCTGGATCATGTCTGTAATGTTAGTAGTTAGAATACTTTCTATCTTTGCTTATTACAGGTGCTTTCACTGGGAGCAGATGTTCTGCCAGAATACAAACTTCAGACTCCACGCATCAACAAATTTACCATTCTTCACTATAGTCCTTTTAAGGCAGTCTGGGACTGGCTGATTCTTCTATTAGTTATATATACTGCCATATTCACGCCATATTCTGCAGCATTCCTATTAAATGACCGAGAGGAACAAAAGAGAAGAGAGTGTGGATATTCCTGCAATCCTTTGAATGTTGTAGACTTGATAGTGGATATTATGTTCATCATTGACATTCTCATCAACTTCAGAACAACCTATGTCAACATTAATGAGGAAGTGGTCAGCGACCCAGCAAAAATAGCGATTCACTACTTCAAGGGCTGGTTCCTAATCGATATGGTGGCAGCAATTCCTTTTGATCTACTTATATTTGGATCAGGGTCTGATGAGGTAAGCTGTTATGAATGCATTTCCTCTTCTTTTCGATATATGTACTGTAAGCAATTCAATTACGGATCAGAAGTACCTTCTCTGGATTAACTATAAAATAGTTTATATTTGTGTGCTTTTGCATTCATTCAAGAACTTAATTATAACTTATACAGTATATAATTTAGATATATATAAGAAATATATGGCTTTTGGACATTTACTTGGGAAAACCAGTCATCAAAATGCTACCTTCACTCAGGATGTTATAAAGGTAGTTTGTTAAAACAAATTCTAACGTGGTTCAGCATTTCCAAATAAAATAGCTTTGTCATTGCTGTGTCAATGATAATGTAGTTTTGTTCAGTATCAGGGCACATATTGTTGCCTCGATGCATATTTTTCCCAAATTGTATTTGCTTTCATTCCATAATTTACTTGTGAATGCAATTTGAGTGCTTGGGTGCATGCCTTTTATCTGGAATATATACTTACTGGTGATACAGCTTCGTTGTTTTTCACAGATTTCATTTGTATTACAACGATGAAAGAGTTTTTGTGAAATGAAATAGGCATTTACAGTTTTTTTAGAAGAATGAATAAGCTTTCATCAAGAGAAAAGTAGACAAAAGGTGCTGGAGTCAGTTCAAATGAGAAGGAGTGACAATGTTACACTGTAACATTTTAGTAGTCTATCAAAAACCACAAACAAGTCCAAACATGCAACAAAAATTATTCTTATGCAACTTTGTAGACTGTACTCTTATACAGTCAATACAGGTTCTGGACTGTATTAAGAACCTTTTACATTCATTCACTATCAGTTGCTTTGCTACTGTATATGGTGCATGTTTCAAGAATACATTCCCATCATTCCCAACGTATAATGTGTTTGAATGCATCCATGTCTGTTATTATTCACATTGCTATGTGCATTGGATGTATAAGTTATAGCAAGGGTCTCCAGCCCTGGTCCTGGATATCCCCAATCCATTTTGTCTTCCAGGTCACTGCTTCTAAAGATTGGATGTAATTGATCAATTAAGCAAGACATCTGAGATTGAAGCAACTAAGAGGGCTGTGGTCCTTAAGAGCAGAAACGTACACAGAGGTTGCAAATTATCTATATATTATTTAATAAATCACCTCACGAATTGGTCAGAATTACATTGTTCTAGGCCTTTCAAAATATACTCTCCATTGGAGCAACCACTGGTCTATAGTATAGTGATGTGCATGTTTTACATTACTGTAAATTTAAGGAGGTCTGCTTAAGTTTGAGCTATGAGCCTAAGCTTCAGAAGTAGTGTCCCTCGTGTAATGTGCACCATTTTTGTTTAGAATATTTTGAGATCTATTTTTTTTATTCAACCTACTTCCCAACATGAATCCTTCAATGTATTACACTTCATGGGAGACCCACTCTTAAAGTGAAGAGAGATTTAGCAGTATAAAAGGATATTAAATTAACATTTTAATGGTGTGAATAAGTGAATGTGTATTCTCCCTTGTCACTGATTGACCACCCTATATAATTCATCATTAATAAAACCCAAATCAAGAGCATGTGATATCACCAGGAAATCTCAGCGGATTGTATCTGGCACCTAGTTTTAAGTGTAATCCTAGGATAATCATAGATCAGTGCTTGATGCAATCAGGGTGATTCTAAAATGCTGAGAAACACACTGATGTAATCCAGATGTGGCTTTTTCTGTGAATTATAGGAGGCTAACATTGAATGAATAGTTTAAGAAGAGGAAAAATGCAGAAAAAAGGCAATTCTGAAGAAGGAAAAATGTTAAATAAACCTAAGCTATTGAGATAGAATGAATCTTTGAAAATAATACAAATAATAAATCCTGTCTTCTTATTTAGAAGAACACTTGTTAATATTTCACAGCGATTCCATTAACTTTAATATACTTGCATTTGTACTGTACTTGCAAAATGTCATATATTGTCTGCCCAGCAAGTGCTTCAGTCCAGTTAACAATGAATGACATTTTCCAGAATAATACCAGTAAGTGCATTGTGGGTTGATAAGCTAATAGATCTCAGCAATATGTTAATTAACAGTGGAAATGTTAATTTGGACAATTTAACTCACAAAATCAAAAAGGTTATTCAATAAATGTTCTGCGAAATGATTACAGTACAACAGTAGAGAAACAGTAAAGGTTTATTCCATGCTGAAAGGAAAAGAAAAGACACACAATGTTTCAACTGAAGCATTGTGTCTCTTTTCTTTTCCTTTCAGCACGGAATAAACCTTACCCTGTTCCTCTGCAGCCTACATATGTTGATGCATTTACCTTCTTGAACTTTCAGTGTGGAGATACATTTTAGAATGTAAAGATATGATTATGATTATATACAGTATTATACAGGTACATATTTATTTAATATTTATTAATATTTAGAAAAATGTAAAACAATTGCCACCTGAAGTATTACCATTTCATCTACAGTACTTTACATATGTACTAAGAATTGACTTATTACTAACTTACCAACTGTAACCTAATCTAATATGGGACTGAATCATGTTTATTAAGAATATTGTTCATTTCTGTTGTCGGAAGCACAGCACTATTCTATCTAGACTGTTCCCATGGTAATTTTGAGGGAATTTCCAAACTTCCTTCATTGTTTTAACAGAATATTTTCCAAAATTTTCACCCTTTTTCCAATGTCTCTGGTGTACTATGGTAATGTTTAACAATGGATTAAGAGTAAGCGTTCAAATGAACCTACTGTATCTTAACAACATAAAGCATAAGGCCGGTTCTATCTACACCCTAGAAAGAACACCAGCCCATCACAGAGCACACAGATACACACAAGCAGACAAGGACAATTTAGAGATACTAGTTGTCCCTGTCTTTGGAGCTTTGGAGGAAACTGGCGTACCTACAGTAGCAAAATAATCTATACATAAATATGAGTAGAGGGATTTTAACATTATAAAATAGAACATACAAAAGCAACTCTATTTTGACCTTCAGTATATGATCATCAAATGCAATACCGGAAAGTGATAATTTCATATATGATATTTCATATGTGTTGTCGCCATACTGCAATAACTTGACTGAGTCAATATTCACAATGCAACACAATGTTATACCAGGACAGGAATTTTCTTTCCCGGACTGTAAGAAGCCTGTCAGGAGACAATAAACACAAGATATCGAGTTTTTCTGGTGTTTAAAACCCCTCATGAAGGATGATAGAACACAATACAAATGATAGGAAGTGATGCATTACCTATAGGTCAATAAGGTACAGTATAAGTAATCTGACATTGCTTACTCTTTTGATTTTGGTTATTTATAATATACTTTAGGTCTTATATATGCAACTGTGGAAGCAAAAAAGTCTATCAATGCTTGCTTCCAGTGCAGATAGAACTGCTTACAACCCAATGGAAAAAGATCTTAGACAACACTCTCAACTTTGTGATAAAACATCCTGCTTAGCTTTCCAAGGACACCAGCTGTGGATGGAAAAGACAGAGCTATGAATGCATTCCCACATGCTGTGACAAATGAATATCTCCTACAGCCTCTCAGTGTTAATGTTTAATATCCTAAACTGATACAATCTTCAAAACAGGACCAATAAAAGCTTTTTCCTGGTATCAAGCTATTAGCTCTTTCCCAGCTGCAAAGTGTAAGAAGATGTGAATCAGTGCACTTGGTTTTTTTTTCCACACAAAAAAAGATTGTGATGATGTTACAGTATTAATGCAATATAAAGAATGGATACTTACTGTACCAACCTTGATACAGTACCTCAATATTTTTGTCATAGTGTTCAAGATACAAGTTTATTATGTGAACATAGTTCTTTGGAATTAATTACTACTGAACTGAAAAATGGATGGCAAAACCAAAACTGATTAGTAAAGATTTACTGTAAACTGGAGATTATATTTCAACAGTCTTGTGTTTGGTACCCCATAGGACCTGCATAGGTCACCAATCTGAATGAGCGTCTAACTAAATGAAGGCTTTGGCTCGGAAAAAAACATTTCAATGGAGTCTTATTTCTCCAACATTATTCCCAGGCATTTGAGCAAAATAAAACTGTGCACTGGCAGTCATGAAATGATCTGCAGGTTAACATTACCACACTCTGCCCATCTGTGAAGCATGCAGGCTCATAACCAAGGTCATTGGTGTAAGAGAAATGACATCCATTTTAGATGTCGAGCAAGAAACAGCTCCAATTTTGTTTCTGTCTTGTATGAGTAGAATTTGTAGTTTTAATTCTCAAATGTGATGTTCCTAATGCTTTCATTTTCTGTGAAAAAATAGACCATTGAATGTATAATGAATGATTTTATCAGCTTCAATTTCATCCATTCCAGAATTATTGTGAATTCACAAGACATAATTGCAGTCCTTGTAGTGTTGCGTAAATGCTTACATATATATATATCAGCCATTCATAAGAAAATGTCACTTCGTTACAAATGTGCAATATTATCATGATTTGTAATTGAAACTATGCCAAACTCAATATTGACCATGGCAGCTTTCTGCTTAGTATGAGGTGTTTTAGTATTGCTACCTTTTTGAATGATTTAATTTGGTTATATGTGAGAGAATTTTCAAATTATCAGTGCAAGTGCTGACTTCTAAACAATAGATTGTACAGAAGATCCTGGAGTACATATATGCACAACAAGAATTGATGTACAGAAATTGAGGAGTTCATCTCTCTATATTAGATCAATTTTATTTTTTTTATCAAAAGGCTATTGAAGACACAAAATAAACAGTATTGTCAGCAATTGCTATGACCCATAATACTGAATATTCAGTGCCAGGTATACATACAAATCTAATTTTACACTGGTTAGCAAATTTCATGTAAATTTGCAAATAAATGTAAATGAACTTCATCAATTAAACAGTGACATCTAGGGTAAAAGCATAATGTCTTTTTGAATTATTATGCCTACACCATGACTTATGAATGAGGATTTGCTATATCTCAGGGCTGGTTGTTATTGAAACTTCATGTTAATTCAGATTTTACCCATTGGCCATGGAAACATGCCAAGATTAAGTAAAGCAAGATGTTTATATAGAAGTGCAGCTAGCTTAGCTTTGATAGAATTGCTTTTCTGTTGTTGTCATTGTTCAAACTAGCCCAACATGCTATTTTTTATTGAAGGGAAATTTAGTATACAAATAATGGCTAGGTTTGGATCAGTTAGTCATTATGTTAGTCATAATGATTGCACATCTCCTTTATTGTCTACTGTAGGTTTGTGAATAGGTTAAGTAATACTTAACGGGTAGGATCAGTGTTATATACAAATTGCAGTAAGCATGCTAATTAAAATAATAAAGCTTCCACTGTGTAGCAATTGGTGATTATGATAAAGCATAAAGCTTTAGACTTTCAAAGTCTAGAACATAAGAAAGGTTATACGAGAAAGGAAATTTGACGCATCTAGCCTATTTGATTTATTTACTGTACCTAATACCTTGTTCCAGACCCCCTCTTTGTGTAAAAATTACCTCCTGTTTATATTTTTACATGCTTTTCCATGTAACTTCCACTTGTGTTTTCTGGTTTGTGTTTGATGTGTTTGATTTGTTTTTCTACCGATTCTGCAAGTAATCCCTGGGTTAACATTGTAATTGCCTTTCAGGGCTTTGAAGGCTTGTATCAGCACCTCCTTGTAGCCTTCTCTGTTCAGCTGTAAACAACTTCAGCCATTTTAGCGTGTCAGTGTGATTGTCCTCTTAAAGAACATTCCTATTCCTTTAAATCTGGAAATATACTGTAAGTGGTCATTCTACACTGAATTGATCCAGACTGGCAACATCTTTATTTTTACCAAACTTCTATTCTTAATGAGGCCTTTTATATGTATTCTCATTTTCTGTCCATTAACCAGTTCTCAATTTAAATATCCCCATTAATTTGAATGCGTGCTGTGTGCAATTTCAGAAATAATCTTTCACGAGGAACGTTATTAAATGCCTTCTGAAAACCTTAACATGTCAAGCCATATGCTCCGTGTCTGTCTGTTGCTGTTGTATCTTGTTGAAAGATCAAGTTAAGCAAGGCCTAACCTTCTCCCTTTAATCCTATTTCCATGTCAAAGGATGAGTACTCATTACATAAAGTTGTCACTGTTGTCTTGTGTCAGCTGTATCTCTTTTGATTTCTGTTATTATTCTATACTTGATAATCTGAATGCATCACAAAAGTAATTCAGAAACTAATATGATATCCTTGTGTTCTGTCCTTAGACAACCACTTTGATTGGGCTCTTGAAAACAGCAAGACTGTTGCGGCTGGTGAGAGTGGCTCGTAAGCTGGACCGCTATTCTGAATACGGTGCCGCAGTACTGATGCTGCTTATGTGCATTTTTGCACTAATTGCACATTGGCTTGCTTGCATTTGGTATGCCATTGGAAATGTGGAAAGGCCTTATCTGGTGCATAAAATTGGCTGGCTTGATTCACTCGGGATACAGATTGGGAAGCGGTACAACTATAGCGATGCCAGCTCTGGACCCTCAATTAAGGACAAATATGTTACTGCACTGTACTTCACCTTCAGCAGTCTGACAAGTGTTGGATTCGGCAATGTGTCTCCAAATACCAACTCTGAAAAAATTTTCTCCATATGCGTCATGCTGATTGGCTGTGAGTGGCAATTAAACTTTTAACTATTCTATTTTACAGAAGGTTTGTATCTATTCCCTTAAGTGTGTTGTTTTCTCCTCACTTCCTACATGTTTAGTGTAGTTTTTAAAAGATCTATCTGATCAGGCTTATGAATGTGAATAACATACAGGAATCAGTCTATAAAAGACTACTGTGAACTGTACTCGGAGTTTAAATGATTTAAAAAAATAATTGGAATGTTTCAGTCAAAAATATTTCGTTTTACAACTATGTCGAAACCAGGGTTTTGAACCAGTTTACTTCTGTGTTCACATTTCTTTCTTTAGAGCTAAAGAAGGATTTTTGCTCAAATTACCCTGTGTTTGTACAGCACAAAAACATTATTTTCTTTCTCAGTCTTTTAAATTACAATACAGTTAAACTTCCTCTAAAATCTTATATAGGATCAATAACGAACAGAAAGTAGGGGTAATGCACGAATGTACTAGCTATGTATGAGGGGCCATTTAGGCCATTATTCAAACTTTACCGCTCATAAACACAGATTGGTCTCACGTACACACAAAATGCTCTCACACTCTCCATTTTACCTCTCACACAGAAAACGCTCTCACATTCACTAGTTTTGTTTCTCACATTCACATTGTGAAGGAGTGTTTTATGTGTATGTGCGAGGTAAAACTAGTGAATGTGAGAGCGTTTTGTGTGTATGCGAGAGCTAAAATGGAGAGTGTGAGAGCATTTTGTATGAATGTAAGAGGTAAAATGGAGAGTATGAGAGCATTTGTGGTGTATGTGAGAGCGATTTGTGCATGTGAGAGAGTATTTTGTGTGTATGTGAGAGCAATTGGTGTGTGTATGAGAGGTAAAGTTTGAATAATGGCCTAAACGGCACCTCATAGCTACAGCATGTGTCCTGATTGTTTTCAGACAACAATTAGACCTGATAATGTCAGTTTTTGTCACTGTTACTAAAGCTTTACTTCTTTATTTTTGCAATTAATTCTCTTTTGTCCTATTTCATGTAGATGAAATGATCATTTCATGCATGAAAACGACAATCAAATTACACGTAAAAGTTTCCAGCAGAAAAGAGAAAACGAGGCAACAGTACAAATTAAATTCCCATGAGGACTTTTTTTTATCTGCTGTGTTTCGTAGCGCTGATGTACGCCAGTATCTTTGGGAATGTGTCAGCAATTATACAGAGGCTGTATTCTGGCACAGCAAGGTACCACATGCAGATGCTTCGGGTGAAAGAGTTTATCCGATTCCATCAGATTCCTAACCCTCTTCGGCAGAGACTGGAAGAGTATTTCCAACATGCTTGGACATATACTAATGGCATCGACATGAATATGGTATGTGCATAATTACAACAATTTACCAATAAAAATATGGAAGCAACACCATAACTAACTTCTTTATAATACCATATTACATATTACTACTTCTTTGAAATGCTAAACCAACACTAGTGATAATAGCTATGCTACCTCTGTTGAATGCACTCTGCTGTTAGTTCTTGTACTTATCAAAAGTAACATTGTAGGAAATTGTGTTTAACACAATTAACAAAATACTAGTCCATTCCATCTGGAAAAATGATAATAAAGCTTACAACCAAATGGATTGTTTGTATTCAATGTACTTAAAAACCACTTGTCCTTTTTTCTTGTCTGCTTCATATCTAATGGAATGACTACACAACTCTGGTAAGAGCAGGAGGTATTTATGTGAAAATCGAACTGATTACAATTTTTATAAGAAATCATTGCTTGTGGATTTTTTTTCAGGCTTTCAAATAGCTTTCTTTTTTAAAATTACTTTCTTTGCAGAAGTAAGTAGGAGAGATGAGCAGAGCCATTTCGGCATGATTTCCAACCTAAAGAAAACAGTGGAATAACACGATCTGTTTCTAATAAAATTCAGTGTTTGTTTAATTTCTCTCACCCAAGTCATGCACAAGACTTTGGTTCATGTGCATATGGTGACTTCTATTTTCATTGAGAAAAAAATAAATATAAATATACACTGTAGTAACACAGCAGCCAAGCTTTTTCCTTTTCTTTGCAGCTCAAACACATGCATGCCAGCTTTTAATTAGTGTGGCTCTTCGGATTGCAAACATTGTGCATTTGCCACAGATTGACTTGCATGTAGATCTGCAACCTTGCTTTCTGCATGAAATCCGTGTCTTTAAAAATGCTACCATTATTTTCATATCACTTCTAAAAACAAATTAAGATACAGAAATCAGCACGCTTTCGGTTCTGATTTTCTATATATTGTATCATTAAATTGGAAGAAAACATATATTTATGTTTTTTAAAACATACCTGCACCTGGCAAATATTTTGTTACTTTTTCTAATTATTAAAATCTCACAAAGCTGCATTTATAGCTACTGAAGCATTTACTAACTGCTCTTATGGATATCGGCTTTAGACTTATTCTGAAAAATATTTTTCTAATAATGTTTTTACAAATTTGGTATACTCTTTTTATGACCTAGAGCCTATTTTCTTTTTCTACTTATAGCAAACCACTCTCGGAAAATATGAAAAGTTCATAAGCAAAAGACAACTATTCTTCAGTACAGAAGATTTTAGTAAAATATTTTATGTCTTTTCACTTAAATTATGGTAATTTGCTATACAAAATATAAAGATTAGATTTCAATTGCAGTTACCAAAGAATGACATGAAAATTATTAAATATTTTGAGATTTGAGTGCATAATAAAACATAACAATAACAATAGTTTTATCAAAATAAATTATTATTTAAAATAAATTATGTAAATATCTAAAAGATAAAGTTTTTGGAATAATCATTTTAGAACAGTGAACAATACGCCATGAAAACAATTAGCAATAAAGCTAAATATATTTATTTGAACTGTGTATGTATATTGAAAATATACTGTTTATACTTTTAGCAAATAAACTGTACTGTAGCTGAGAATAATGGATATATTAAATGGTAAAAAACAGACAGCAAAGTTGTTTTTTATACTTTAGAAAAATAGACTCTAACTTTTTTATTTTAAAAAGGAAAACTACTGTAGTTCTCTTTTTGATCCCTCTGATCCAGAGAGGTAAGTTGTTTTTACAAAACAATTCTGAAGGTACTTTGGCATCTAAAGATGACAAATGATGCTCCTACTCAGATATTTTAAAAACAACAGGATTTTTCTTTGAGTAAATATACTGAATTGTTCTTTCAAACTCCCATCATCTTTGTAAAATTCCTGAAAAAGCATTATTTTAAAATTCTTTCATCAAATTGTTTTCAAATAAAAAAACGTTTTTAAGAGAAATGGCATGGTTTGAAATAATAAAAAAATAATCATATTGAAAAGCAATTTTTTAATTACATTTGTGAAATTCTTTGGTGATTACAATACTAGAGGTAAAAATTAAGTAAGTAGCAATAATGATGATAAATGAGTAGGTTTGTTATTAGTATTAGGAGTAATAGTAATGCCAGTTTAATCAGTTTAATCAAATATATTTAGCTTTATTTGGCAGGAAGATGTATTCTTTTGCCTTATTAAAATTATTTCTATTTTTACATTAGAATTCTGACTCCTACATAAATATGCATGTTTCAAAATTCATATCTGTCTCCTTTTCCTTGAAGAATTATTTGGAGTTTGTGTATGTTAACTGAATAGGACCGAAAACAAAAAATGTATCTTATGAAATCTGAAGGAAGAGAAAGATCAGAACAGAAACTGTTGTAGCAAGCTATTGAGATCCCATGGTTTGGCCATGTAGTGTTTTTATAGTTTGTACTGTCCAGTTGTACAGAAGGAAAGCTTCATTTTTTATTTACTTTATTTAATTCAGATATTATACAGTTTGCTTCCGACCTAGGAATACCACAGTTGGAAAATCTATCCTTTAATCTTTTGTATTTTGTATTGAATATGGTAATTGATTTCAGAAAAATACCTTACGTTCAGAAAGTAATTTGATTACTTTATTGATTGAAAGTGTATGGTAGTATACATCTGTTGTTTGTGTATGTCCCTGTATTCTTTTGTCTGCTGATGACTATAATTAGCATTGATAGTTCTTGCGTTTTTTTTTATTTTAAAATGTTCCTGCTTAGGTCCTAAAGGGGTTTCCGGAATGTCTGCAGGCTGATATTTGCCTTCACCTCAACCAGAGCTTGCTTCAAAACTGCAAAGCTTTCAGAGGAGCTACCAAAGGTTGTCTGCGAGCTCTGGCCATGAGATTTAAAACCACTCATGCTCCTCCCGGAGATACGCTGGTGCATTCTGGAGATGTCCTGACTGCACTGTACTTCCTGTCTCGGGGCTCCATTGAAATCCTGAAGGATGACATTGTTGTTGCAATACTTGGTAAGTATCCTGTGGATACTGTGTTAATATTATGTTATTATAATTAACTCTTTGTGCAGTGCAGTAACCCAAACGCATTAATACAAATGTGTTCCAAAAGAAGCATTATCACCACATTTCAGTGAACGCAGCCGTGGAATTGCCCAATCATTTATGTAAAAATGGAACCATCAGACTTTCTTTGCTCCTGAAAATGTCCATGCTTTTGAACTCGTTACACTCCATACAATAAATAAACATAGACAAAACTAGTCCTCCACTGTACAGTGCGACAATTAAACCTGAAATGCAGCAAAAAAGTCTCTTTTCTTTTTTTGAAAATGTATTAATGCTGTGAAGTAACTAAAAGCAGGACTGATTAGGTGTATTAGGCTTGTCCTTTTTCTGGTTCTGTCAAAAAGCTTTGCCAAACAGAGAAAATTAAGTAAATACTTTAATTTTGTCCATTTGAGTGGGAGGACAAGTTCGTTCTGAAGGTTTAGTGAAAAAAATACAAAAACAATATTGTTCCTTTAATTAAATTTAAATACTGTACAAAATGTGTAATGGGAATTATATCCAGGATGCCAGTCATTGTTATACAGTAGTTCAGGTGGGTAGCTGCGTCAGCATGCCTAGGCTGCAAAGGAACAAGTAATAGGTTTATTCCATGCTGAAAAAAAAGAAGAAAGAGAACACAACGTTTCGGCTGTGGAGCCTTCTTCACACCTGACACACCTGAAGAAGGTTCTCTTTCTTCTTTTTTTTCAGCATGGAATAAACCTATTACTTGTTCCATTGTTATACAGTACATACTGTATATCTTTTTCATGATTTTTTTTTCTTCTTGATAGAAATGGAAATTGGATCATAACAAGCTTAAAGAAAAATGTAAAATGTGGCTAATTGTATTAACAGTATTCAGTGTGCAGATTTATTTATTCACAGCAATGTTGTCTGATGAGTGTGCAGTGGCAAAACTGATGATAATTTTCTCACTGTTTCTCATAGCTGCTACAAGCATTCATAAGAAGCTGTAAATAACACTTTGAACAACAGATGATTATGGTATTTTGGACAAGTAGAAGTGCTATGTGTAATAAAGAAAAATTGCATACTTTCTAGTACTTCACTTTTAGATGAAATAGGTGAAACACTTAAGGTCTGGCCTGTAGAGGATTGCTGTTTGAAATATATTATTAGCTAATTTGCAGAGACTGACATTCCCTGAGGGATAGGTGCACAGTATTATGTCCCAACTAAGATACTATGCAGCCATTCATTTTCTGATTCAGCCCAGCACAGAGTACATTAAAGCTGGCAGCGTTTCAAGTCAAAGAGGTCTTCTCTTTCCAAGGGAGTAGAAAATAATTGCTACTTCCAAACAGATAGTCACTTATTGCTGAAAGAGTTGACGATGTACTAATATTACACACTAACCCTTACAGATACCTATGTTTCAGAAGTCACACAGAGCTGCAAAAATGTTTGCCTGCTGTGGAACACAACAAGAGAACACACTACTGCTGTACAATGTATGTTCTCTTTTGTTCATGAAAGTCAGATTTTGTAATATAGTTTTTTTTAACATTAGTCATGTAGTGCATCATTGTTACAGTACATTGCTATTTTGGTACTATGGTTGCTTTAGTATGAGAATGCAATTGGTTACCTGTTCTAATGCTTCTAATTTTGCATTCTGATAAATAATACAGAAGTTTTTTTTTTTTTTAACTGCAGACCTTTCTAAAGATATTATTGATGTATATGTAAGGTTACAGACTAACTACCTGTATATATCTGCATTTTTGCCCTTGCAAACTGCTCTGCATTTAATAGCTGTACAGCTCTGCAGTAGTACTTCATACCTGTGACTTTTCTGCACTCTTTTATTTAATAAGAACATTCCCCATGTGGTTTAAAAACAAACCTTCCAATCCTTTTTTTGTGTTCTAATAGATTGCAGTTGGTTTGGTGAGATTTCTGGCTTCTCTGTAATTTTAAAGCAGTGTGGGCAGAAAAACAAACTCCACTGGTCATTTCTGAGAAAGAGCCAAAAAATGTGCTTTATATATATTTATTAATTAAGGTATATACAGTTTCAAAACATACAATACTTCTGTAGGGGTTACATTAAAAAATCTTCCATATAATAAATGATAGGGAGTTGTCACCCTGCCATATTAATAAGAATTGTATGTTCAGCGTGTACAGCATAAACTACAGTATACAGTATCATTCATTAGCTACTTATTTTCCATAAAAATGTCCGGGTATCCTCCTTCTACAAAATGAATTGAAATCCATTTCAAATAAATATTTAAATCTATGTTGTTGCTGTTCTCACATTTCTCATATAAAGAAAGCTTACCTGTTGAAGCTAGATTTGTTTTCAGTTTGAGCTAAAATGACTAGTCTTGGTCTTGCAGTTGACCAAGCAGTGGAGGTAATAGAAAAAATATTTATTTACATACTGTAGAAATACATTTCTATATTTAACAGCTTTTGCCACGTTTTGCTGTGATCTCTGTTTCCATATATTACTTTAAGATTATTTTATATATATATTGCTTAGGTAAATTTGCTGCTAGCAGTTATGGCCAAAATCCTTTAATGTGCATCTTTCTTGTGATTTTAGATTTTTTTTTCATTTGTCTAGACTAGACAGTTTTTCATTTGCAGTGAAAAAAAAGACTGTTAGGGATGAACTAATGTATCTGAATTACTGCTGCCAGCTTCCTAATAATGCAGATCTTGTCAGATTACTCATAATGCAGCTTTCATTTTCTGTGAAAAAAATAGCTTTGCACTCCCACACTAACTACAATGCAAGGAAAAACCCCAACTTGTTCTGTCTTTGTAAAATAATATCTCTTTGCAGTTCTGACCTGGTGGAAGACATTTCAGTTTTGCAGCTTTTTGTAAAAAGATTTGTCAGCTGTGAAGAGTCCTATGTAAAGAGCTTTGCAAATAAGTTTTTAAAAGAGAAGGGAAATATTTATTGAATTGCATATTTTTGGATTTAGTCTTCTGCTCCCCACGTAGTATGTGAAGTCAATTCTGCTATTCAGTTATACTATTCAGTGTTATTGACAAGTCTTTCAAATGACTAGAGGATTTTTTCCAGTATCTCACAGTTGGCTTCAAGCAGGTGGTACAGGTTAAGCCTTACTTAAACATGTCTATCTTACACAGTGAATGGGCTTTACAGAATCTGCTGGCATAATAATATCAAAGTACAATGAGTCCTAAGCAAATCTTATAAACTAAAAAGCAAAAAGTAAAAAGGAGGAACCATAATCACTTCAGATACAGGATTTTTACTTGATTTTTATCTTAAGTAATGCTCCTCTAGTTTCGCATGCTTCAGTAGCAAATGTTGATATTTAATGTGGGATGATTAGTTAGTTCTAACATTTACATGTTTGAATTTGGCCCGCATATCTTGGCAGAGTGTTTGACACAATATACTGTACACTGCAGTTGCACAGTTAATCGATAGGTTACACACAGACAGCTTTATCTCAGTGGTCTTCCAGCAACTGTCCATTTCCCATCATCCTAGAATTACTTAATAAATCTAAAAAATGTCTTACTGTCTTAGTCTGTACCTTATGTTTATTTTGTATAAAATCGCAAATAAAATCATTAAAGGAAAGAGGGAAAATGCAGCAAATTAATCTAGATTAAGAGTAAATAACATCTTAATTACTACAGTATAGTGAAAAGATCCACAGATGTGTTTAACTCGTTAGTGTTGAACTATATTAATATAACAAATTCTCTAGAAAAGATAACATTGAGCTAGGCCGTAAGATTTTTAAGCCGTAAGTGAGCAGTATAACCTTATGTTCCAGTCTATCTAAATTCTATAATAAACCAGTGTAATTTACAAAGAATAGGAGATGTATGTTGATCTAGAGTACTAGTTAGCACATGACCTACAGATGTCCGGACATACTGTACTGTATTACACCTTACATTCGAAGATACTGCAGTAGGTAAGCCATAGGAATAGTGTAATCTGTGAGATAAGGTTATATATAAATAATTCAGCATCAGATACTCAGAGCCTGGAGAACCAAGAAACCAAGAAATTTTATACAGGTGGAAGACAAATATGAAGCAGATGGTGTCAGTTTATGAATACAATCTTCATTTTGTTACAGTTCAGAATTGGCTCTTGCATCTATATCTTAATTTTAGACACATGCTGTCTGTTTTGTTCTGCAAGTAAGCCTCACCAAATTTAGTGTCATCAGCATAGCAGTAAAACTCAAGTTCAACATGTAGAATAATGTGACCAAAAGGAAAGATGTGAATACAAAATAGTAAAAGTGCCAGCACCCTGAGTAAGTGGGATAACAGGTTTAAACAGCTATGATTTACAAATTGGTTCCCAGTTATCCTCAGAATCTTCCATGAAATTAACCAGCATGTCATGGTTGACAGCATCAAAAGCTGCACTTCAGTCCAGAAAGATAAGGATATTATGAGACCAAACTTCAGAAACCAACAGCAAGTTACCTTAACAAGCGCAAATCCATTACTGAATCTCTATCAAAAGCCAGACTGTAAAGGTCCAGAAAGCTCATTAGATTCAAGATGAGAGTTTAACTGAGCTGCTACTGCCATTTTTTTAAAGAAAGGTGTCTTTGGAAATAGGATGGTAGTTGTTAAGTAGCTGGTGGTCCTGGCTAGGTTTCACACAGATGTGATAGAAGCTGATGATAACCAGAGACATTGTTCTGTTTGAAGTGCTGTCCTTTGGATGTGGTATTAAACTAAAGGTCTAGACAACTTGGTCATTAAAGATCACATGGTATTTTTCAAAGGAGTAGGGTGTTAATCTCAATGTCCTGGGTTAGTACAATCTAGCCTTACTGAAGTACCTTCTCCATTCAGTTAGTGAAACACTTTCCCATTTTTCTGTATAATCTGTTATACAGTTGTGTAACACATCTTCAGGTGCAGAATCACCACCACGCATCACTCAAATGGGTGCAAAATTTCATGGGTAAAGAATTGAACTTATTTTAGATGCACAAATGCTGTGTACATGCAAGGATGGTGGGTGATGTTTCCAATCTGGCTCTTTCACAGCAGCAATCACAGATCTGGCTGACATGTCTGATTGTAGCTAAAAACATTGTTGGAGCTCTTTTTGCCTTCTTCTTCCCTCTCCCAGTATCACTGGATCTTGGTCTTCTTATTTCTATTATATTCTTAAAATGTGTTATTCTTGTTATATCCATGGTGTCAGTGGCAGAGGAGTGCTGCGGCTGACACAGTCAGACCGTGTTGAATTGTTGCTGTCTGTTGGTATTTTGCAACTTCTTAGGTAGAAACTAGGAAAGGGCTGCCACTGAGGAAGATGGGTAAGCAGGTTTTTGGTGGGGTGCGAGACGGTTATTTTTCTTAGGTTGTGTTGAATTTTGAATGATGTGGTTATGAAAATAAATATAAATCACAAAATATTATTATAATGCTGTCCCTCTGTAAAAAAGTGCCTTTATGGCTCCTATTTGCGTTTACCTTCAAGACGTACTAATTTGTCTGCAACCCTCACCAGGAGTAAGTGATTTGAAAATGAGATGACACATTCTAATCTGAGTGAATGTCAATTCTCCCAATTCAGGGAGTTTTTTTTTTTATTCCTTTTGATTCTCAGTGATGTTGCACTGTCTAGAGTGCTACTTGCAATAGCATTTGACCTGTTTGTGATTCGGCAAAATCTGGTGGTGGTGATTGCATTCTAAATTCTTTATAAATCTAAAGACAACTGTGGAGTTAAGGTGCAGAGTTTTAATATATCTCTGCAGTTTGCTGGTCAGATTTAAGAGAAGAATTAGAAGGAATTGCATTTGAAGACTGTTTAAATGCTGAATTTCAGTGCCATAAATACTAGCTAGGCCAAAGGTGTTACTGGGAGTAGATAGTGTCGGACTATTATACTACCAAATATATCAATTCATGGAAATTTATAAAACTCTGACAGAAATGTTGAATAGGTGCCAAGTCTGTAAACTGTATATAAAGTTGAATTCTGAAGAGAGTATTTTGGCTTCAAACATACAACTTATGAGTCTTGTAATTCAAGATGTAGATGTAGGTCTGTCTACACCTTGCCATAACAATGTGGTATAATGTAGTCTTGTCTGGGTTTCAGTTAAGATAAGAAGATCTCATTTATAGTCAGTGATAAGACCATTGATTAAACTTCCTTGGCTGGCAAATATCAGTATCTGCCTGTGATTAAGTACAATTGGCATACAAATGAAAATCAAGATTGTATTCATGTCCCAAAATAAAGGATATAGACAGAAAGCAACAGGGGACCAAGCAGGAGATCCTGAGGGACACCAAGCTGCACAACACATAACTGTAATTACAATCATCAAGCGAGACAAATTGACGCTGACTTGAAAGACAGGACTCAAATCAGTCCATAACTTTACCTAAAAGGATAATAAAACTGCAAGTGATATAACAGAATAATATAATAAACGGTTTCAAATGCAAAACATCTAAGAAAATAGGAGGTGTATTTGTTTTAACTTTTTTGCTATGATAAGGTTACTACAAACCTCCAATAAGACAATTTTTGTGCTGTTGTTCATGTGAACAATATTTGTGTTTTCTTCTAGGGAAGAATGACATTTTTGGGGAAATGATTCACCTTTACGCAAAACCTGGAAAGTCCAATGCAGATGTCAGAGCATTAACTTACTGTGACTTGCATAAAATTCAAAGAGAAGATCTATTAGAAGTGCTTGATATGTATCCAGAATTTGCTGACCATTTCTTGACTAATTTAGAACTCACTTTCAATCTACGAGATGACAATGCAAAGGTATTTTATTAGGATTGCTTTCATTAATGGGATAGAAAACATTTGTGACTCAATGATTAGCCTTATGCTGACCTTTATCACATCCATGTTTTAGTTTTTTTTATATATTTATTATAGCAAGATTAATACATGAATACTAATGAAACTAAGGATGTGAGTCTGGTGAGTCTTACATTGTTGTCCCTGTGTGCATTTTCTGATATATTTTGTTTTTAGATTGCATTACACGGTGAATAAGAGCAGTCAAATCTGGTGTATTTTTAGATCAGTGGAATGTCCTTGGTTGGACTGTTTACAATTAATCCTCGGTCTGTATGACCTAAAACTTGATAAAGTCACAGAATAATAGTATTCACTAAATCTAAAGAAGCCAGAAAAAGTATATTAGTTAAAAGAAATCCCTTAAATTAATGAAAGTAAAATAAAATTCACTTTAAAAAAATAAAAAGATATTCTATATATATAAATGCATAATTCAAAGAAATACAAAATTCACAGAACACCAATGCAAGAATCAATGTTACAGTTTTGATCCTTTCTACCTGCTGCTAAAGTCAGAGGTTTAATGCTATTTGTTTTACAGAAGTAAGTACACACCTTTAGCAATTAAAAAACTGAAAATTCTCACAGGTAAACATCTAAAAATGAAAACTGCTTGATGTATTAGTAAAGAAGCATACACAGACAAATAAATATCTAATATATATTGTTTAATTGCAGGCAGACTTCTCAGATACTAACGACTCTGATGAGGAGGATGGCAAAGGACGCAGACGAAAGATTTCTTTTAACCGCAAAACAGACACAGGTAAATTCTAAATAATCTCTTTCACTGTATGTGCAGTATGTCCCATTCATTATTTACTACTGTATCACTCCTTCAACTGAAGCTGACTCTGCTCCAGACACTCTGTGGCTGGCAGTTTGAAAAATGTCAGCTGCCAGTGCGCATTTCAGGGGAACACATGAGCCCTTCTCTTCCATCCTGTGCTGATATGCCAAGTAGATTAATATGTTGCCTTTCCAAAACTGGGAAAATGAGTGGGGGCCAGGAAAGTTAGCACGGCTCCAAGTGCTAAAACAGGTAGCCAAGTCTAGTGGTATAATAACTGGCTATAACAAACTCGGCTAAAAAGGACTGGTACTTTTAATAGCTTGAAAGACAAAAATATCACTCATTATGTAGTGTGTACAGCACTGGCACAAACACAAGCAGCAGTCTGTGCTGCAGAAGAAATTACTTCACATGGCATCCTTCAAGACTATAAAATCCCAGCATGGCTCATGTTTTATAGGATTTGCCACGTAGTGTTCAACATTAGTACGGTGTTTAGAACAGACGTAATTGTATTAAACAACTGTTTTCTATTCTACTTCAGGAACGACCAGAATGCACAAGGATAGTGAGTCATGCTAAATAACCAGTATTACAGCCTGAGAAAATAATTTACTCAGGCTGATCTTGAAGCTGCATCTTCCACTCCTGTATAATATTTCTCAATGCTCTCTCAGAATTGGGTATGGCTTTTCTGACATAGTTAGAAAAGCCTTTTCTTTCATTCTTTAAATGCAAAATAAGATAATTTTATTTGCAGGGTATTTTATTTTGCACATTTACCAAATGTAATTACAGTAAGTAGGATTACTTTGTTAAGAGGGCCGATGCTTATAATAAAAACTCTACTGAAGAGCTTTAATATATTTGATATACTGTATACTCTGTGTTCAGCAATTTCAATTTTTATTTTTTATCCCATGTTGTCCCTATAAAGGCTCCTTTGGCTCATTATGTTTCCCCATGAAAAATAATTAAAACTGCTAATTACAATATAAGGCCTGAGCTGCCTTTTGCTTCACAGCTCAGTTGCCGAGAGTTTTTCTTCATCGATCCCTCACACAAAGGTGATGCCGATCACTAATCTCAGAGCCCATTTAACTCGCATTTCAGTCTTTCCAATTGATCCATTATAGGGCTGCACATTTGTTTTCTCTAGCTGTTAAGTGAGACATCCCCATAGTACTCTTTAGCCAGAATAGAGAATTACAGTAAGTAGTGTACAGTAATTACAACTATGATATTTTAAAATTCTTAAACAAAACCATCCTACACCTAGAGGGTAGTTAATATATTTTGATAAAGTGGGATCTAGTGAGGAGGCAATGACTGCTAATTGCATTTTAAATGGAGGTAGTTCATTGTGACACCAATAATGCAAAACACTGAGTATACTCAGCCTACCTCATATTAATATTCTTGATCACATATATTCAGGTGTGTGTAGTGTAAAAATGCTTTTAACTTGTCTGGGATTCTGGAGGCCTGGATGATATTGACCCAGACATCAGTCTCATATTAAAAACCCTAAATTTGATGGAAAAGTTCCACAGAGTAGAAAAAGAAGCTTTTGCAAACAAAGTTGCCATTGTACAGTTGGTACAAACTGCAAATTACAAAAAACTTTTTTTTTTTTACTCCCGGAGCTCAGGTTTTTTAGTTGTCTTCTTTCTAATGGATAATTTCCGTGATGCTGAACTCTATGTTCCAGCAGTTCATACTGACTGTGATTCTACAGGGGAAAATACAGAAGAACAGGAAAATAACAAAGCGCAGGAGAAGCTGCCTTATCCCCAGTGTTCATGGAAAGAGTCAGAAGAAAGAAAAGAACCTACATTATCTTTTTCTAACTCTGGAGATGAAGAACAGAAGCAGCTGTGTTCTGGAATCCTCGGCTACCCTTCCATAATGGACCATACGCCTGGACTGGGATTTGTCCAGACAAGTGAAGTTGAATCCAGGAACAGAAGGATAGAAAGGAGTCAATCTTACAAAGGTAATGGCCCAACCGTGACAGATGTTTTTAAAAAAATACCATTTGGCATATAGAACATACAGTATAGCAAATCAATTTTGCATTATACAGTGTCTCTAGTCCTTTTTAAATAAATAAGATTTAATCGGAAAGTAGAAAGTGCTACCCAAACACTAGAAAGAGTTGTTAGAAGAAAACCATACATAAAAGAGATCACAACATTTTAATAGTGAAAAGGAAGTAACCCATTAAGTGAAACATCTCAGTAAAGGGAATCCTTACTCCCAGACTATGAACTTCAGTGTGTTGCTCAAGAGACCATTTCCTAGTACAATATTTGTGATATGACTGTACTGTACTTGTTCTGCCTCCGGAAATCCTAACTCTCAAATGATCCACTTAGATTTACTTCACAGAGTATACTATTTGATCTCCCCATAGAATGTGTTATGAAGAGAATTTTTAGTTGCCTGCTACAGGTTATCAGGGTGTTGTTAATGGGCACATCCAGCAGTGCTACCACTACTGTATGTGGCCTGATGTTGTCAAATTTCAAGCCAAATTTCTGCAAAGGCTGGGTCAGGTCAGTACTGGGATGAGAGACTTCCAAACAAAAGATTGCTGTTGCAAATGGTGATATCAGACGAACAGTTGGGCATCTTCCCTCTGAAGCAGAATTTCTAAATTATTGCCCAAGTATGGTGACCATGGAGGGGCAGAGTGCTGACGAGGGTACTGTCCTTCAAATAAGGCTTTAAACTGAAGCCTGACTTTTGGGGGTAAAGGGGGCAATGTTCATAAAGGTAAGACTATTAACAGCAGTGTCCTGACTAAATTCCATTCTGGGCTTGCACAATCTGGCCCATTGAAATTTTCCCCTATGTTCGGTTGGTGAAATAATTTGTCCCTTCTCCACCTGACCTACTGTGCTTTGGGGCTGCTGGTGAATAATGACTATCATGCATCAGTCACATAGGTGCTGCACTTTTTGAAATGGGTATCCACCTAAATGTAAAGCACTTTGATGAAGCTATGGGTTGAAAAGTGATATATAAATGTACTGTAATGATATACTATTATTATTATTATTATTATTTCATAGTAAATTAGTATTGATAATATAACATTATATTATTTGAACAAGGAATAGGTTTATTCCATGCTGAAAAAAAGAAGAAAGAGAACACAACGTTTCGGCCGTGGAGCCTTCTTCAGGTGTCAGTTTTTTTGTCTTGACACCTCAAGAAGGCTATACGGCCGAAACGTTGTGTTCTCTTTCTTCTTTTTTTCAGCATGGAATAAACCTATTACTTGTTCCTTTGCAGCCTACGCATTCTGACGCAGCTACCCACCTGATTATATTATTTGACCCCCATCAATTTTATACTTCACATAAGATGATGAGGTTGTACTGCTAACTAAGGCAGCAAACATAAATGCACTTTGATTGCAATCCAATATGTCTGATTATAAAGCAGAACAAAATAATACAAGCTGCATCATTCAATTTGGTTCGGAACATCCATAATAGAATTCATAATATATTCCCAAAGCCCTGTACTGACTTTGGAAAAAAAATGAGTATGGAAAAGATTCAGAGCCTGTAAGTCCTTTCCAAAGCTTAAGTCAAATCATAGCCCTTTTAGAGGCTTTAGTAAAATCCTCTACAGTGTCTTTCCCTGAAATGCGTTTCTGATGTCTATGCCCCAGTTCTTTCTTCTAAAGATGTTAATACCATACTGCCACAGAAAAAGGCAGTCTGTCCTGGAGTGACCAGATTGAAAGATTTGGGATATAGGCTGACAATGCAAGCACACCTCTGCATTCCCGTTGAGATTTGAGCTAAATGCCTTTCACACTCTTGGTGTTCCTGTGAAAATGGCTGGCAACAGCATACTAAAGCTTTTAAAGAGACTTAAGATAATGATGAAAAGGCTATACCTGTGAGGGTTGTTTTCTGCCAAATCAGGGCATATTATAACAGGATAAGCAACAAAACATGACCACATCCTGAGCCTGACTAGGTAGAACACAGAATGCAGTGTGTTGCCTTTGTCTTTATTGATGAAAGTGCAGCATGATTGCCTGAAATCCATTTAGAAATTGAAATATTGTGTGGCTGTAGTGGATTATACCTTGTCCAACCAGATTGATTCACATTAAGCCATTTTATAGCAGAAACAATAAAAATATCTCTTTCAGTAACTAAGTGGATAAATGTAATCTTTCGGAATTTCTAGATAATTAAGACATGATGGTTTATGGCTTGCTGTATTCAGACCACACTAAAGTGTTTCTGCATCTTTTGACCTCAAGCTAAATTATTGCTGGCATCTTCCGTAGGTAATGTAATAGAGTGGCTTATAACTGGTGGTTTTGCCCTACAAATTGTAATTAGTGAAATATTACTCGCAGAACCTAATTTTATTGTCTGGTACTGGCTTTAAGCTAATACAAAAATGATTAGAATATATTATTTTTTTCTTGGAATGTATTTATGGTGTATTTCCTGAAGCAATTCTTATTGCTTAAGTATACTTACAATGTATTACATATTTCAAAAATCTGTATATTGCAGATACCATATCATTTCTATGAAAGAAATGTCCCCTGTTTTTGTAAAAGTGCAAATGTGTACATGGTTGTCCAAATTATTCCAAATATTATTTATATTTATCTGTCTGTTTTTTTCACCGTCACCACTGTGAAAGAACAATATGATCACAGCTTGCTCGCAGTAAAGCCCATGTACTATACATTTAATAACAAATGCTTAGAAAAATCCATTATATTTGTTTTAAGTACTGGTGTACACTTCAGTTATCAACCAATTTCAAAACTCTCGTTCAAAAGAAAATAAGTTAAAATATATTTGTTTTATTCCTGCGTAAAACAAGTAAAATATGCAATGTCTGGAAAAGAATAAATAATTTGCAGTTCAGATCACTGACTCAGTCACACAGTGTAGACAACAGTTGACACAATTGATCCTTATCCTTCACAGCCCACTGCTGGAGATAGCCTGCTTGTTCTGGTCATGTGTGGTACAGCTGGGATTGTGATCCTTGCAAGAGGGGGTTCGAGTGGCACAAAAAAAATTATGTAGCTCATAGATGATTTATTACGTTCTATTTTTGTGGTTTATTGTTTGAGTGATTAATAATAATGCCCTCTACATGGCTGCCCTATATATGGAAAAAATAGGATTTGTAATTTTTTGTTGTTGTTCCTGACAGATCTTCGATGTGAAGAATGGGACTCTGAGAAGTCTAAGGAATATCCAGATGATTCAGCACAATCTCAAGTTATGAGGGGCATCTCAGAAACAGAAAGTGAAATTACATATGGAGAAGTGGAACACAGGTTAGACCTGCTTCAAGAACAGCTAAATAGGTAACTATCAAATTGACATTCCAGCTTTCTGAAATGCGTAAGCTAATGTCTACCAAAGGAAACAAAATCTGGGGTAGTTTCTGAAGGCTGTGGAACCCAAGTTTCTTCAATATTAAGAGACATAAGACATAAACGTAGAATAGAAATTCTCAATAGAAAATTCATTTTAGTCATCAAAAAACAGTGATAAGTCACTTCTATTGTAAATGCTTACTGTACATATCTATAATGTATATTGTAGCAAAGAGCAATGGTTAAGGGTGATACAGTCATCAATAATAAGATGAATGATGTCATTATTGTTTTTAATTGGATTTAACATAGTTTGAAGCACTTTAAATTCAATGAGATTTGTTCACTTCATTTCAGGATATATTAATCACACAAATTGCAAGTGGGTAAGGCAGTTTTCACTTAGACTGATTTCTATGTGGTTTCTTCCGTAAAATAATTTGAGATTATTTGAAATATAGTGCATTCAAAATTTGTTTCAGTCTCGGGTACAAAACTGTTTAACTGGTCTATGCTTTCATTTCTTTTACTGTGGCAAAATAACCTTAAAGAACATTTGATCTAGTGTAGCTTTTTTATCCCAGATTTTATACAGCTATGTTTATACTGTTTGGATTTGCATCAACATGGAAAATTGAATTGGCTTTGATTTAGTGGGAAGGCATGCATTGTTTTGTCTTGCAAATTGGTGGTTTTAAAGACACTACAAACATGCTACAGCATTCAGTAGGAACGGTAGTTTAACTTGTGTTTAGAAAATGTCAAAACCTCACAAATGAATCTGCAGCTGGTATCAAGATGCTGGTAAACAATGTGCAATTTACACCACAGTGGAAACCTGATGTTTTGCCTATATTTGAGAGTCTCTTTTATAATTGAGTGAAAATGAAAAACTTATTGATGTCTTTCAGGTTTGAAAACTTAATAGGATAGAAATTATGGTCATAACTCACTAAAGTAAAATACAGGATAAAAGATTTGTTGAAATTGGATATGAATCTTAAATGTAACAATCTTCCCTGTTCCGGTGTAGAAAATAAATCACTTGTCACCTCAGTCTTGAAAAGACAGTTCTGTGGCAGTATCAGGCTGTTTGTTGATTTCCCATTTTCATACCCAGTGTTCATACACTCCTCATACTTTGAACTGTCTAGTCAGCATAATCTTTTGCATGGTACTTATTTAAATGATAGTTGCTTAACGATATTTATATCATGGATAATTTATCACCATTTTAAAATTTGAATAGCTGTAATTAAAAGTCAAAAGAATACAACAAATTCTATTATAAAACTACACAGTCCCAGTTGTGGAAACATTTACTTTGTCCAGGGTGATGTGAGTCTGAATACAAACACAAGTTATACTTTTGGCTGTGTAAACTGTTGTGGTTTATCATATGAGAGAGTTTTTGTATAACAGTGCTGACAAGAGATACTGTTAAGAGACAACAACAGTCTACTACTAATTTAATAAGTACTGATCCCAGACATTGCCCCTGGAGTCCCTAAAACAGAACACTGTTCTGGCCAAAAGGCTTACATCATCCATGGTAAAAAATGCTAATATGTGGAAAGATTTTTGGCCAAATTGAAAAAAAACATAAAATGGCCTTTTTAAGGACACTTTGAAATGGTTTCAGACAGCTAACAGGGAAGAAAGGCTTACTGCCAATCAGTTCGAACGTTGTGCATTTTAGTATTGGCAAGCGACTGATGATAATGGAAACCACAAATGAGTTATAAAAACTAATTTTATTCCAGCAGATAATAGGTTCAGACAGAGCAGGTGGTGGTTTAAGAAGAAAATCTACAGAGAAAAAGATTATTTTAAACTAGAACCATCCTGCAGCAATAAAGATAGGGCTCTGTTATCATTTAAAGGGATGTTTTCATGTGTACTCTTGCTGACCTTTATATTTTATTTCTGCTGAAGAAAAAGCCCTAGGCTACAGCTGATGTTGCTATTTAGGAGTGTGTCTTCTTGTTTTATCTTTGATTGAGAAATAATGGCCAGAAATACAAAGCATCATTGAAATAATTGCCTAGCCCTTGTGCTTGTATATCATACTAAAGCAAATATAAAAGACAAAAACAGGTTGTTTTGTTCAAATAGAAGCATGTGTTCCTTTTGACCTGATAGCTGACATTCTGGATCCACACCCTTATCTATTACACTGCCTATTGTCTGCAATATAAAGGCTCAATTATGTGGATTAAGCACGAGGGACACTGGCACTAAATACATTACCTTTCATTATGTAAAATGTTTAATGTTAAACTTTTCTTAGATTTGAATAAACAAAATCATTAAAGATGCCATACAAATGTGCCTAACCATTAGCCTGCTGTATATGACACAAGGTACTGTTTAAACAATAGAGACAGATTGAAAAATTCTTTAAAAGGTCTTGTTTAGGGTTGTATTTAAGTATTTACCATATACAGTTTACATAAATTAAACATGCTTAAGTATATATTGTTTCTTTCATGCTAGAAAATATTCCATGTGGACACAAAAACAACACGAGGGGAATAAGATGAGAAATTGGTTTTATTTACCTTGATTTACAAGAGCAAGAGAAAATCACTTGTAATAAGAGAGCCCACAGTCATAAAGCAAGTGAAAGATGTGTACAGCTGACTAATCCAGTTTTCCAGCCATGGATACAAAGAGGAATAATTAGATTTTAAGAACACATGTTTGTTATTTAAGGATTTAAAAACAGACACGCTAAGGAACACTGGGGACATCTGCTTTATACTTCCAATACACAGAAGAGATTTAGAGAATAGCTAGAGCAAAGGCTCCCCCTACTGTTTATAATCTGTATTACTCTCTTGAGGGTTGTAACCTTTTGCTTTATTATTTATAAATTAGTGTCGCAGAAACGAATAATTAATATTGTGAAATTGCATGACCTGAATTCAAATACATAAACATTTGAATGTTTGAAGATTCTGTTGAATCTTGGTTTCAACAGAAAAAACAGTAATTCTCTTTCCTCTGTGGCACAGCATATAAAAGATTTGTGTTTTCTTCCTAGAACATGTTTTTAAATGGCAGATAGATGTAAGACAAACAATGTCATCAAAGACTTCAAAAGCAGTACACATCTTGTTTTCCCCTTTTCAAAGATGTCTGTGGAATAAATTAAACTTTGCATTTTAATTTTGATTTCTCTCCCCAGACTGGAATCACAGATGACAGCTGACATCCAGGCCATTCTTCACTTGCTGCAGAGGCAGTCTGCATTAGGGCCTCCTGCATACAGCACAGTGGCAGGCAGCTCAGAGTATCACAGGCCTGCCATTCGGGTTCAGCCTGTAGCTGCTATAAGAACAGACAGGAGCTTTAGTGTATCATCGCAGGTAACAGCACTGCAGTAAATAATTGTAAAATACTGTATTTCTGAAGTGAATCTGGATATGGCTCAAGGCCTCGTGATTAAGTATTATAAAGCATGCGTCAGCCACCAAGTGTTATGACAAGAAATATATATGAATAAGAATTAATTATCTTATATTTAGATATGTTTAAAGATATTTTAATATTTTCCATATCATTTTAATAGAGTAAGAAGTCCGGTCTTGTTTGAAAAGCATCCTTGCTTTCCTTGCGTTTGAGATCAGCAAAATTCAGTTTACCGACTGTTCTATATTCACTCACACAATCTCTTGGTTCAAATCCCAGGCACTCAAGTTGCCAAATATAGTGGCTGAGAGTCCAACACTAGAAATGGGTTGAGTTAATGGGAAAGGACTTTAGATGTCTGCCCAACAGTTTCCCTTATCTATCATTATCAATGAAAACCTTTTCAGATGTTACCATTAAAAAGGAGTATCTCTTTTCGATCCTAAGATCAATAGTGTCTTAGACATTCTTGTTTCCCTAGGGAGATATCTTTTGTGCCTCCAGATTAAAGGCTTGGTGACCCAGAAACATGTCTGTTGCTTGTGCAACTGGAAGAAAAGCCCTATTTGAAAATTTACGAAAGCAAAATGACAAATAGGAGACCAAAGGTCTTGAAAGAAAAGACAGAGCTGTGCCAACCAAACATTTAAAGGGAGCCTTAAGGTTTGCAACTCAGTGAACGGAACACATTGGGTATGCAGTGCAGTGAAACAAGTATTACAGTCCTGTATTTCACCTTCAGAAGCATACCATATTTTCTGATTTTAAACATTATAAAGATCTAAAACTAAAAATGTTCTTCATACAAACTATAATGTAAGTTCTCGATCACACCATGTCTATCTATTAAGCTACTAACATAGCAGAAATGTGGAATATCTACTTTTGTTTCTGTGCATGAACAAAATTCTAGTTTAACCTTAGTTTAATGTATTATATAATACACATATACTTTATCAATATGCCGAAATGTATCGACAATTGAATGGCCAAAGAAGAACCGATGAAAAATATTCACATAACTCTTTAAAATGTTATATGTGCTGTATGTGCTTTATTTCAGAGCCCAGAACTCTTAGACTTGGAAAAGCCCAATGTAAAATCCAAAGAATCTTTATCCAGTGGAGTCCATCTGAACACAGCATCAGAGGAGAACTTAGCTTCGCTTCTGGAACAGGAAACTGAACAGGAAGATGAACATGAACATAACCAAACAACTCCATTTTATCAGCCTCAGTCCAAATTTTTCCTTCTTCCAATCCGCCACCCTTCCCTGCCAGATTCTTCCCTAAGTAACGTAGGAATGTTGGGACTCCACAGGCATGTTTCTGATCCTGGTCTTCCTGGGAAATAATCACACCTCAGATCGCTCGCATTACTGTTATGTCTGTCCATTTCCAATATAAATTAAAATCCTCTTAAGTTTGACTCAGGGTCTAGAAGGATAATGTCATATGCAAAGAATACTGTAGATTTTCCTAAAATTTTTAGTTTCTTAATTTAGTTAATAAAAAGGTAAAAATAGTATCATGTATATATTTCAGATGTAACACTGCCAGCAACACAAGGCACCTTACATGCTTGTTTCAGAAAAGAAATGCATGTTTGGAAGTGTTTTATGTTGCATGAAGTTCTGAATATGATTTATTTCAAGGGGAATCTGATTTGGTGTTCGCATGTTTTCTAGGCAATGAATAAAGCTTTTATAAAAATCTATATAGGATACAACTTACTTGAACCAAACTTTGTTAAAAGCACATATTTGAATTTAAATGTCCAAATATCACATATTTTGCTTTTTACTAAGAAAATCCAGGTCATATTTTTAATACTTCTGTAAAGTGATCCAATCTATGGTATTCCTGAAAAGTTTTAAATAAATAGCCAATAAGCAGACTTGTAAACCAGATGCAATATTGTGCCTAAACCTGGTCACAAACCCCCTTTTCAATATTTTACGCATCCAAAGTCTAGGAAGACTAATTGTATTCGGATAAACTGTACATACACAGTAATGACCCAACTGTATTTGTAAGTTAAATGTACAGCTTATCCAAAAAGAAGAAATAATAAATATATCCAAAATGCCTAAAGTAATATTCCAAATATTAGTATTGGAACTAATAGCATTTTTGCATTTTAATACCCATCACTGTATTTTGAAAGAGGTTATTTTTAAAATACTTTATTTATGAAGTGTAAGTAAAATGTTTTAAATTGCACCACTAAATCCAGCCCTGTGCTTTGTAAGCAATAATATTGATGTTCCTCGTTTCCAGTTGACAATCTTATTGGGCACTTCAGCATTACCATGGAGATCACCATTAACAGAAATTATTAAGGTTGTGAATTTTAAAAGTAAAATTAACTTTCTGGATTGAGAAACAGTAGAACTTCAGGGAAACATCTGGCATTAAGTACGTTTGAACAACTTGCTCAAAATTGATTAAAATATAATTTGCTCATGCTAAACTGAAGGTTTAATATTGTTAAGATCAGCCAATCCACAAACAGCCAAACTTTGTCAATTCATAAAATGTCTTGAATAAACTTTAACAAGGGTGTGCATTTTATCATTTCATGAACCATTTCATAGGTGTCCTACATCTGTACACAGAGATAAGATATTGTGTGGAATAGGATTGGTTGAGAGAGAGATGTTGGATTTTCCACTTTTATTTTATTATGTTATTACATACAGAAAGCGATGCACAGTAATACACTTTTGATAATTGTCATCCAATGGATGGTGAACATGTACAGTATTTGCTTTCCAGATTTCATTCCTTTTTAATTAGCAAAGTTGAAGTTTGTTCTCAAACAAAGAACATAAGCTAACACCATTTTCATGAACCTGCATGTTTGAGAAAAAGGGGTGCTCAACTGCATCAGCCGTTTTGGAATGGCAAAGTTCAGGTAGGTTGGTTTTCAATTCAACCAAACCTAAGCTTCTCCATCCTTTACCAAAGCTTGTCACCATTCATTTTCTCTGTATCAAAATCTGAATTTTAAGAACTGACAAGGGATTTAGTTCTAAGCAACATTGTCCAGATTTGAATTTCTATTAACAATCAATAGCAACAATGTTCATGTTGTCAATAGTGGTAAAATGAACCCAGAGGTTTGACAGAGGCACAATGGTTTGACAAAGGCATTGGTCAGTTTCTGGGTGGTGTATCATTCCTCAAGTTCCTAAAGAGTTAACTTACCACAGTTCTTTTCAAAGATGAAAATCTACCCAAATGTTTTAGCACTGGTTTTGGATATGTTATCTATCCTTCACAAGATTTTAACTACTCTTGATTTTACACAAGAAAAAATGCAGCTATTTGTTCATAAATGTATTTTTTATTTTGCTTCAGTATACTGTATTACTTAGATAATGGCATGTGAAAAAACCAATGGTGTCTTGACAAGTCCTCCTTCTTTTACAGTGAAAAGCATAAGTCATTGTGACAATGCAGTGAAATGTATCATTTTGTGCTATGTACAAGTGAAAGTTGTATTTCAGATCAAAAGATAAATATGAGGAAATAGTACAGAATGGCAGCTTTCTTGGAATTTGTGTGCATACAGTACATGTTTAGTCATGTTAGAAGAATGGAATTTGTTGTTTGCAATCCCTCTCCGATTTTAGAAGAGCACACGAGCACAATTTGGGACAAATTAACTTAAACTACTGTTTAGTTAGAATTTGGTCACATACCCCTGATATGCTAAAACTGCTGGAACCATCATCACCAGCATTTTCTTGATCTGTTCCTTTGAGATGCTTGGCCAAGTCTCACCCAAAATAATATCCAAAAACAAAAGCTTACATTCAATAGTTTTGCCTCATACTGATCTTGTGATCTGAAATACACATCGCATTAGTGCAAAGCAAAAATCACAACTTTTACTGCACTGTTAACTTTTTACTTTGACCTCTTCCCTTACCTTCAGACTCCTGCTTTTCTCAATTTCGCTCAACACTTAGCAGGCCTCAAAATCTTACGTATCACTGAGAATTCCAAATTCTACTGCTTTTTAAAGAGCAAATAAGATAATATCATGAGTATGAAGTTCACCCCCCACAATCCATAGGCCGCTAATCCATTATTATTTATAAAACATTTTTGTACATTTGTAATTACATACCCTTTTGACTGAATCATTATAGCAGTACAAAAAACAACATGTATCAACTATTCTAGCATGTTTAATAAATTAACTTACACATACCCTTATATATATATAACGTATATACTACTATGGTCAAAATCCACAATAGTCCTTTGTGTTGAAAATAAGGAATATCCCCATAGTCTTTTTTTTTCCTGAAAAATAAAAATGTATAAGTTGCAAGACATGTTATAACTTGTTCATGACTCATCACTCTACATACATCAGCTTTAGGCCTTCCTTTTAAAATACCCTCTGTTATGCAAAGACATTTTTGGAACTCTCCCAACAAAAATATTTGCCACATCGAAAATATAAAATTGTCCATGATGATGCTTGCTCCAAATTAGGCTTAGGTAACCTGTATAATACATTCTTGGGGACTATGTAAGAAATTATAACATTCATAACCCATTCTTCCAAAAGACTTAATGGGCACATACATTTTCTTAATAACCCAAATCCTTTTGATAACCCTAACCCTACTTTGTTCATAAATGCCAGTCCCAACCTTAACCATAGCTTTAAACCTAAAACATAATGTTTTATGAACACCTTGTTCATAACACTTGTTACATGATAACTTGTGTATATGTATACAAGTGTGTGAATACTTGTGTATACATAACACTGTTATGCAATTCTGCATACTTTGTAAAGGTTGAACATTTTTGTAATGTCACTGTGTTGCATCTAAGAAGGTATTGTGCAATTTAGAAGCCACATTCCTTCACTGAAATTGGTGGGACGATGGACAGATGTGACAAAGTCTGTCTCAAAGGAAGTGTTATCTTGTCCATTTCATGAAAGAGGCAGCAGACTTACGAATGTCATGAAAATAATGAACAAAAAGAAACAATAGGACATACGTGATGTGGAAATCACAAGGAAGCACATTTAAACCTGATTACAGGAAACCGTTTTGTACACAGAGGGTTGTGGGAGTCCTGAACAAACCACGTTGCTAAAGAACATACCTTTGGTTCTTTCAAAAAGTGACAGGATGATATCCTTAGATCGATTATCTGATAGCAACAAAACAAGACACATGGACAAATTAGTATCTTCTCATTTTAACTATCGTTCTTATAAACATCAAACGTGAGAACTTCTGATGTTTATACTGGTAGTTTGAAAGTAAATGTGATATATAGTTTGTTATATTCCTCAGTAGAAGCTGCCCATTCATGTTAAAAAGGGGCTGGGGATTTATGTGGCTAATAGTTAAGAACATTTCTTCCATCACCTTTTTTTTTGTTTCATTAAATGAGCAGGATTAGTTTAACCACTTCATAAAACTGGCAATTTCAGTTAGTCTAGAACGCACTCATACAAAATGTTACAAGTGAACAGCTATGATATGAAGAGTTCTGCAGTATTTCATGAACAATTTTAATGAAATCCTTTTTTTTAAATGTATCAATAAATGTATTTATTAGGAAACATATCAAATGTTTGTATGGCAAAATTGTACCTATCAAGAAGTATGGGTCTGGTACCTGTACTACTACAAAGGCAATTAAGGCTTGGAGCCACTTCATTAAAAAAATAAACTGATGGTGTAGCTGTGCTGAAATTGTTAAGAGTAACTGGCCAGCAGACAGATCAACAGGATAGTTTCTTACAAGGCTTTTAGATTTGCCTACTTTTGCACATATTTCAAACTGGTTGTATTGAGGAAATGTCACTTTTTAATCTCCTAGTGCGTTACACAATTGTTTTTATGTATTTATAAAGTTTGCCACTGTATAATATTTTATACAATGCAACACTTTACAGCTGATTTGAATGTTTCTGTTCCTAAAAACAATATTGTGTGTATTAACACAGTTGATTTAGGTAACAACTTTTGAACAATTGTATAAATAAAACATATACGGTATACAATCTTTTGTTTATTGTTTTGTGTTAACATAAAAAATACACAAAATCCATTAACGTTTAATCAAGTTGTTCTGTGTTATAAACTATTTGAAATAGGTTGCATTTGTAGCTATTAACATAAAGCTTAAGGTAGCAACTGATCAAAGAAAAACATTGTAACAGTTAATATGATTAGCAGATTCCCTGTGGTTCACATTTTTTAATTATTAGCATACAGCAGACAAAAATAACATTGAACATCCCTTTTGGCCTGCTTAGAAATTAAAAAAAACCCTTGATACACTGATTAACAAGTTATCACAAATGTTGCTCTAACACTGAAGCACTGCAGTTCTTTACTTTGTCTTCCAAATTCTAAATGTACACAGATAAAAACTGTAGTTTATGGCAAAATAAGAAGCACAAAATAAAATCATTGATGATCCAAGTGCTTGTAGATGATGTTGGCACTTTGTGTCAAAAGAGTTGCCTTTTTACCATAGGTTTACTGGGCTCATACCCAAGTATTATAATGGTACTTACAGTACACCAGCAAGTAAATAATGTCACACTCTAATAGGGTAATCCATGAGATGTAACTTGAAACGATCTGGACATCTTCAGCCACCCTCTTTAGTAAATTTATCTTCTAATAATTATAAAATGGCAACATTACATCTCAACTTCCCAAATAAGGGTGATGCACATTCAAGGTTGTAGAAATCATATAAAAGAACAATCATCCACTTAGAAGTACTAATCAGTCAAAGTAGTGGCACCTGATTTGTCAAAACATAATAAGATATGTCCCTTTTGCCCTAAGGGTTTATCACAATTCAACACAATATAGATCTTTGTACAAGCTGACCTTGTGTGCTTTACTACATGCTAAATTCCTATTTTGGATTATATTATTAAATAAAAAATTATATAGTACAAATGTCCATTATACATTTATAGTTTTGTTTTTCGGTCGTGCTGGTCTATCTTTAAAGAAACATACTCTTCTAGCACATACTTTACCACACAAACACAGCAGCTGGTGTTCTTAAGCTACAACACATCCAAGTAGACTGAAGCCTTCGAAAGCTGTTCTTAATCCAACAGGTTTCAACCGCTGTCCTCCACAGATTTCGATCATGAGGTAATCAGATCGACATCGTGCACAATATGAACTACAGTCAAAACAAAAGAAGAAGCGTAAATTCGCAAAGAGTTTTCATATAATTCAAAGTATTGTAGGGTCTTGATATTCACAACTGTTTGGTGCAGAGAACCATCGCAAAAAGCCAAATCCACATATAACCAAGTCCAGCCCTACACAGCTGAATAATCTACTACAGTATATAGAACGTATGGTTAAGAGACATAAGTAACCCTCCCTTATATGATAATTAAAGTATTAATGTATTGGTTTTATTTTAATTAAAATGACTTTGATCAACAAACAATAGTAATCACAATCTTATATTAATCACCTAACTGCAATCTCCTGACAGAACCAGTTGTGTTCAAAACAAGACCAAAATCCAAAAACAATACAAAACAAATACAAAATACATAAACAAGGCCACTTGAGATGCACTCGTTCAGTAGTGGGTACTTGGGCAAGGGGCAGGGAAAGGGTCACTCACGAGCTAGATTCATCTCATGATTCTAGTCTGTCACGCGTCGAATTTGAAAAGCTGAGCTTAACAACCTTTGGCTCAGATTCATCCTGCTCTTCCTCCATACAAGACTCCTCGGCCAGACAGAATCATGAATGGGTGACTTTGCCACTGTTAAATTGGCATATGTCAAGACCCTGCTGTCTCAACATCCCCATTGCTTTACATAAGTACTTACATCATCATACTGGAAATTTACAATTCCTTGTTGTGCAGTATCTCTCCTTCTGAAACTGTCTATAAAGGGGGAAAAAATATTTAAATGAGCTCTTTTTGCAATCTGACTCTGCAATAAAATATCCCATTCATTAATTTAAAAAATTGTATTTAATAATGTATTATTTCTCTTTCCTACCCTGTTTATACTGATTGCCATTTGACATTATGCAAGCCTACAGTGCCCTGTTGAAGGGTGTGCATATACATAGAATAAAGTATTTCTCACGGACAACACTCCATAGTCACTGGGTGCTGCTGTTGCATTAATAAGGATTCTATAACTGCCCACCCACTACACTGGCAATTAGGCACAGCCTCTTAGAGAAACCCAGTCACTCCTGATTAATGAAAGAACAGAGCTAGACCTGAACTGGCAACATCCAGATCAGAGAGCACAACCTGTGCCTAAAACCACAGTCTTTACTGCTGAGCCACTTGAGAAGCAATTGAAAGTTTCATTTTCACTAGAATAAATACATTAAATTAACCATTCCCTGGTAAATCACATCTGTCAAATTTCAAAGTTGAAATAACTGATGTATTCTGTACCTGTGAGTGCTCTTAGTTTTACACAGCAGGCTACATAATCATCAAAGAAAATCCTGCCATTCTTGCTGTAGCGCTTTATAATACCACTCAGCACCTGGGGACTAACCCTGTAACCTAAGAAAACAAAAAACAGTTAATCTCCAGTCATATATTAGATATTAAAAATAGAGCTTGTATGACAGAGTAATCATGTTATGTACTGTATTGGCTTTATGATGATTTTTACATATTACCAGATGCTGTATATTAAAATTAAACTTTACAATGTTTAAGTGAACAAAAAACATTTGTTTTAGAAATTAAACTGGCAAACAAAATATTACACAGCACGTAACTGCAAAATGTTATTGTTGTTCTTATAGAAACCAAATATAGGAAACCAACTAATTTAAGGGTTAAGGTTTGGTGGGTGAGGTTCAGCAGCTTACAGTGCACTTACCCATTGAGGAAATGGACTGACTCATTTCATGAGGTTCCACAGTTCCACTTCTGTCTTGATCAAACATCATGAAATTCTGCTTCCAGCCATTGAGAACTCCAAAAAGCTCCTTGAACTCATTAAATCCCATCTTCCCAGTCATATCTCTCTAAAAGAGTTATGTTAAGTACTGTATTTATAATGTTCATTCAACAAACACCAGGTGGGTGCCACACATTGTTGGTGATGGAGGGGAGTCCCCATGACCTGTAAAGTGCTTTGAGCGGAGAGTCTAGAAAAATGTTATATACTGTATAGTAAGTGTAAGGAATAAGATCACTTTATTAGCCCTATACACTTTCTAGCATCTGTGATTTATACCCAACAGTTAACTTTATAAATAATAAATAATACAGATGAGAGAAGCCCATTCACTGTCATTTAACTATGCACTTAAAGGATACATCCAGCATGGCAATCATGATTCTACAGGTCTCCAAACTGAATGCTAGAAAGAGAAAATGCAATTCACAAAATTGTAATTGACACACATTACAAATACAACATTATTCCTAACAAATCCCTAGTATCACAAAATCCAACCTAATTAAAAAATACTGAAATGTTCTACACCAATGTGTCCAGTCCTCACCCTAGAGGGCCGTGGAGTCTACACATTTTTAAGGTCTCTTTAAAGTAGCAGCACTTGAAGAGCTGGGAGAAACTGTTGAAACGGTCCAATTAAGGCAGAATCAAGCTGGTTTACCTCACTAATAACTGAGCTGGAATAAAATTCCGCATGGACACCCTTATAATTTTGTCCACTACCAATTACCATGTACACACTGAGCAGAATATCCTCTTTTCTTCTTATTTGAAGCATTTTCAAAAATGTTGTAAATTCTTCATTTTGTTGCCTATACTTACGACTGTAACTGCCACTAATACCACTCTGTGTCAGACATCTTTGAAGCTCGTCTGCATCAATTTCACCATCCTGAAAAGGAGACAAAAAGAATTATTACAAAAAGAATATACAGTACCGTAAAAAGATGCATCTTATTAAAACCATGACATAAGAACACCAAGCTACACATCAGCTTCATTTTTTTTAAAAGAGGGGCCTTTTCTTTTCTGACGCATTCTCATCATCTACCACAACTTTCCTTTCCAGTGAAAATCAAAGGAAAAGAAAATCTTACACCAGGATGTTTCTGACCAACAGGTCTTAACCACCTAAACATAGCCAATGAAGCAAACTGCCAGAGTCCTGAGTCATTACTCGTGTTTCTTAATAATGTCAATTCATTTACAGTATAGTCTTAAAACCAGGCGCATGCCCAGGGTGAAGTCAGCAAGACAGCCTCTCCAAACACAAGCTCATGAGTGAAATATAGATAAAATGACCTGGGCCTCCCTGCACTTTCCTCTGTACTGTTTAACCTGCCTCTTGCTCACTGCTGTAATTGAGATATAACATGTTTGGGCTGCAACAGGTAATACTCTAGTCTGTCTTGTAAAGAGAGAACTACTTACTTCTCTTACAGTTTATTCAAAAAGCGAGGGAGATTCAACTCTTCTATTGATTTGAGCTAGTACATCAGTTCAAGATCATTCTTCTTTATTTCAAGGGAAATACAGTAAAAGAAACTAGGGAAATGCATTGTGCTGCATTGATAATTGCTAACAGTTACACACACCTCTGAGGGTCTGACCCCTCTTTGAAGTTACAGAGATGTTCAATGATCACAACATACAGTACAGGTCTATCGAAACCACTTCAAGAGTGCCAGGCTAAACCGTTTTTTTTTTTTCCCCAGTGATATTCTTTCTCACTGTACATAATATGCCACTATAGTGCTACATTTGTTTTTTTTTCAGATGTTTTTTTTTTTTATCTGCATTAATCAAATACAGATACTGAATGGAAAAGGGTGGTAATGCTCTACCTGAGGTGCCATAATAACTAGCATGGCCAAAAAGCAAATACAAAGAACTAGACAGCTTAGAATTTAAATAATTATCCGTTAGAATCTATAGGGAGGCATGCAGATAGTCAGTTCACTAACATCCACCTAATCTAGGTGTCATATCTTTACCAGCTTAAAACAGTTCTGATTATCTGTCTGTATATTCTTACTGACCTGTCCTGCTATCGCAGTAAAATAACCCCACAGTGGGTCATTTACAGGTGCAGCACCAAAATTCCCGGGAAAACCACCATAACCAGGGTATCCACCCATCTGAGGTCCTCCCATCTGTCCTCCTGGCATCGGTATTCCGTGTCCTGGAACTCCTGGCATCGGTGCTCCATAGCCTCCATACTGGGGAAACAAGTACAGACAGATCATATACTGTAGTTGATACCAAACAGTTCATATCAGAAAGGGCAAGGCATATAATCGAACTGTAACACAGTCTTCATCCTAGTACAGGCGTCCTATAATATTAATAATAATTAGATTAATTATGCATAATACATCTTCATAAATTCTTATTGTGAATATATTGTGAATCTACATTGTGAATAATAATTACAAATAATCTTTATTCCTGTGAAATTGTATAACACCAGCAATGCTAAAAGTCTTAGGATGGTCCCCTACATCTGCAATATACGTTTGTTGTTACTGTTATTCTGTTTCAAACACTGACATACATGCTTGCTCTAGTTCCTTTTCTTAATACCCATTTCCTAAGAACAAGGACATCCTGACTTCCTTTGTGATGCAAATACTGATTTCAAAGCCCGCAAGAACCATCAACACAAAGCACTTTTCAAAGAAATTGCAGACCTAACTAATTTCATCATTTCATTACAGACAAGATTCCAAAGTTGCATAGTTATTAGTCTATATTTTCTGTATACAAGTACAGTAGAAGAAACCTGTAATGTAATGTATCCTTCCATTTTCTAACCTCTTTATCCAACTTACAGCAGCACTTTATCCAAGAATCCCAAGACTAAATTCCTAAACATTTATATCTACCTAGAGCACACCACTCCTCCGCCTACATTGTTGACAGTTCAAACAAGTGCATTTTTGTATCATTAGTTTTATTTTTGGAAGAAGCAACACGATTTATTCCCATAACTCTATGAATAACACATCCAGCACCTTTGAAGTATTTTATTTTTCCACATAAACATCGTTTTATGAGACAAAAAAAATATATGAGATCATTCTGAATAGCGGGTGTCAGCATACAGCAAGGGCGCTTTGGTTCAAAGTACAGGATATAACAAGCAAAAACGTGTAACGCTAGAAATCGTCAAACGGCAGATTCAACGCACAATAGTTTGGTAGCATGCACACTCATGCTGGCAAACCCGTGCGGACATGTTTCTGTGCCTGCAGTACAACTTCAAGCCCTCACTTTGGTGCGTTACCACTGATTGCAAAGTTGTCGAGGCTATTACCGCTCCAGTCGAGATAAACGCTGTTGGCATTACAGGAAGGGAAAACAGAATAGTTTTCAGCCAAAACGTACTGTATTAATAGACATTTCTAGTTCTGGAACTACCCTCGCTTTTTACACGCGAAGGAAGAAGCAGCTAGCCCTACCAAGGATCGGAGCGATGGCTGAACTCTTCTTGTACTCCCATGATGATCTAACATATCTAAATTAAGCATTCTAAAAAAAAAATTATCTTCATGTTATGTTAGTAACACCAGTCCTGACACCAGCACGATGTTCAAAACAGTAGCGAACACAGCTCGGGTTATAAACCGAGGTGGTCTAAGTGCAATATATAATTGTTCAGTAATGATATAACCCGGAAATTATAAAACAACCGTTTAACTCAACAACGGCGCTACTGTGTGTCTCACAGGACAAAGATTTTTCATTTCCCAATTTCGAAAACGAAAACTCAGTTTTCATATTCTAATCGCGAACACTGGATATTAGATTTCGTTTTAACATTATTAACAAGGCTAATAATATTTTACAATTTTGTTAATATGTGTTTTCTGCATATACTGCTGTATATACCCTTCTGATGACTTGGAGATTGTAAAAAATCTGATCAAACCGATCAAAAGATTTTTCTAAGTATCTCAGCTGCCCAGCCTTTTTCACGCTAAATGAAAATAGTCCCTATATGTATAGTATAGCATATATATACTCTTCTGGTAAATCCCCGCCCTTTAATCGTTTCAAAGACAAGAACAGAAACATACACCGTTAAGAGACTCCCATTCCATTTTTTACTTACTCCACCGTATCCTGGGTATGCCATATTTATCCGTAAATACAGGAGGTGCGAAAAGAAGTTACGGATTTGGATACCAGATACCAGAGAGTAAACAACTTTCTGACAATTTTCAAAACTGAAGATAAAACGCCCCTACAACTTCCGATACTTCTACTACGTCACAACGGGATGTAGTCACATTCTCTTCTTCTGACCAATTGATTGATCACGTTGATAACCAATAGAAACGTTGTATCTGAAGGCTAAAAACACATCACTGATCACAAAAAAGTACCGTACACTTAAGTAAAAGTAAAATACAACAATAAAAACCACAGTTTAACATAACTGTGTTGTCTTAAAATGTACATTTAGAAAGTAAAAAATGCAATATTATCACACTGTTCCTAAAATTATTCTAATCACCTTAGGAGATTTAAGTCTCTCTTTTATTATTTCATTGGGTTTAACACGTTTTTTGTTTTGTTTCAGACAAAAACCTTTATTTGTTGAACTGCATTAATATTTAGTGAATTAGTAAACGCTGTGGGCTATATGTGGTCATATGCTGTTCTGTTTTGGGATTTCCACAATTTCCGTTTGCTTTTACGAAGTATTACGTATAGACACAGTTTAGGGGAATCGAAAGTGAAAGATGGGCGTTTAAAACCCGTGTCTGACTGCGGCCTTTTTTGGTTAGAAGCTGTTTCACAAGCCAGGACTGTTCTCTTCATTTGCTCCAAAACAAATCGGCACTGAGCTGGGTTTTAAAAATGACTTCTTCTATGCCCGATGAAACCTGGTTTTGGCTAATAGATGATTGTTTTCGGAACAGAATAAGGAGACTTATTCAAGTAGAGCCCGTCCTGGATCATATCAGCTTCATAGAACGGGAACAAAAAGAAATGATAATTGAAAAAGCAAAGAATGCGGGTAACATCCGAGCTGCAGATCTCCTTCTTGATACAATAATCAACAGGAAACCACGTCCTGTCGGCTGGTATAGGGAATTTGTCAATGCACTTCGGCTTGGAGGTTGTAAACATGCTGCAGTTTATGTGGATCCAGACGAACTCCCAGCGCCTTCTTTGGAAGCTGAAAATGATCACTGCATTCACCTCATAGAGCTCCTTGTTCCTAATCTTGTAGACAAAATGAAAACTACAGACGTCAGTTTATGCTGTTATACACTGGATATACTGACTACTGAAGACAAGGAAAACGTAAGTGTTTTAAGATTATTACTAATGATAATTCCCAATACGTAAATAGCGCAATTCTGGACACTCCACACAAAGAGTCTTATGTAGTGGGGACTCCTTTCCACCACCACCAATGTGTAGCCCCCCACCTGGATGATGTGATGGCAGCCAAAGTGCGCCTGTACACTCACCACACATCAGTGAGGAGGCCAATTCATAGACATGGATTATATTAGTGTGAAATACTTTATATCACAATGTTTTTTTTAATTATAAAAACCTGTAAAGAAGCAGAATGATTTTAATTGGAATAGCAAGATGTTTTTAAATTGGAGTTGCACACTATTACACTAGTTACACTTTGGCAAAATTGGGTTTTATGGTTGGGATTAGCATCTGTTACTGTTCTGTTAAAAGATCAATTCCTTTATTTCTGTGAGGCTGTGTACACAGGAGTCGTTCGTGGGGTCACGACTGTGCCATGTCTTCAGATGTCACCCACAAACAACACACCACCCTATTTCCAAAATCCTAATGCCCCTACAAAAGATTTACCCCGGTCCGCAAAATCCAGCTGTTTCGAGTCTGGCTACAAAAATGTAGGTGTGGTTGCAGAGGTAAATACGGTAGCAAAAAACAACCCTTAACCCTACTCATAACCCCGGTCATCCCAGTTCTGCGCATAACCGGTATAAAATACGAAATCCAGTTTTCGTTTCCGTGTTTATTTTATAGCGTCATAACTGAAGAAAAACTCATTTCCCACGTCGTCTTTGTATATTTTTCTGAAATATTTTACTGCTGCAAGGGTTCTATGTGATACGAAGGTGATTTAAACTTGATAAAGCTTGGCACAAATAGTTTATACTATATATGATGTTCTGAAAATGTAGCAAAAGAGTTTTCAGACTTATTATTAATCATAAAATATCTTACTGACGAAATACTCTCATAGAACAACAGAGCAGAATATTTAATACTCATCAATCATAGTAGAAAACCCTTATGTTTAAAAAATAAGTTATCTGCAGTGCAGTCTCAGTTATTGTTTATTTCTGCTCAACGGCTCTTTTTCGATATTTATATTTTATTTCATTAAAATAGTGAAGACTGAAGGTTAGGCAGAGAGACCTTTTCTTGTGTATAGTGTAGATACTGTAATGATTTCGGCAAACCAGCACTTTACAAGAAATGTTAAACTGTAATGCAGAAGTTAACCACAAGACGGCAAGCAAGTACTAATTTCAACACATTCAGATTTCCAGAGACCACAAATTGCAACCTGTAATGCCTTTTTTTTTTACCATAATACAGGCAGCATTTATTTTCTTTGCAATTGAAAATGGTTGTAATAAGTAGTGAATGCACTTTTGTTAATTACCCCCTCGCTGTTATTTTTTCGATAAATTCAAAGCTAGTCTAAGAAATATACACGCACTTGTGAAAATTCACGAATTGCAGATTCTTTCAGTAACAGGGAATACACAGTGTCGGTTGCAAGAGCGTAAGAGAGATTTTCATCACTTTGTCTGGTCAGTTGAATTCCTAGGTCTAGGCCTTGATAAAACTGGAGAATCAGTGCAACATAGCGTTCAGTCTCATACCATAATCGCCATTAAAACCTGAACTGAAAGCAGTCCTATTAGAAGTATGGAATATGACTTCTGAAATATCCTTTTTTTATAGTACAGCTTATAACTGCTGCATGACAATTCAGTTGGTCTATTCACAGGTATCATGTCATTTCATTCTCATTCTTAATGGCAAAAGCCTTCTACTAGAATAGTAGCTGTCAGGCTGTTTTACAATTACTTTTCATTTAAATATTTTGGCCTGTTTTGCATATTTACAATAATTGTATTTGGTGATAATATATTAAAATGCATTCTGCATGTCTCCTTAATGTATAGTATACAAGCACAGAGGCTGGTATTTCACCTTTTCCACAAAATATTACAAATTAAAGTCAAATTACGTAAATGAACATGAACGTATACTATTTCTGCTTTAGATTTTGACAGAATGTGCAAACAATGGAAACAGAAGTGGTGCGCGATTGCTTCTAAGAAGAATAATTCAGAAGCCACCTGGTTGGTTTTCAAACTTTCTGAAGGCGCTAGAAAAGACAGGACACAAGGATCTTGCCCAGGAACTCACAGGTGTACCCCTTGAAGAGCCATCACAAGGTATGAAGCTCTTACTGGGGAGCTGAAGGTTCTTGAGTGTTTTCCTGGGCAGCACCATGCTGTGACAGTTAGATCTTTGGCTTATAGTTCTTGGCTCCAGGGTTCAGTACTTGTCTGAGGTGCTTTCTATGTGGAGCATGGTCTCCTAAGATCTGCATGAGCTCTCTCCTGATGTTTCAGTTTTCCCAATCATCCCTAAAGAAAAGCTGGCTAGGTTACTTGGCATCTTTGTGTTGTCCATGTGTGTTCTGTGATGAGCACTTCCTCTCCAGACTGTGGTCTAGTCCTGCACCCAGTGTTTCTGGTATAGACTGTGGGGTTTTGCGATGCTCCCCACAAATAAGCAACTTCGTGATAAGAAATGCATTAATAAAGATGGATGAATGTTCTCTAATTTTCAAAACTCAACTAAGTTATTCTAAAAGTCATATACAATAAATAGTCTTTATTTGGTTATTTGTCAAAGACAAGTTGAATAAATGGAACGCATTTATCAGTATGACCTGTATTAACTTGAGTGAGTAAAATTAAATATCCTGCATAGTAAGAGAGAACATTTTTACCGTTCAAAACTTTTGCAAAGTAATGTTGGTTTCATTAATAAGATAGGGCCTTACTGTATGATAGCAAAGGCACTGTGGCAATGTAAAGACTGGCTTGGCGTCACAGATCTTTATTAAAGAAGCAGTAGTTAAAAGAAGTAAGATTATTTGGGTAACTTAATTATTTTAAATGTTTAGGTATATTCAGGTCAACGTTTCTATTCTTTTAAAAAAGTTTTACATTTTTCATTTTAGAGGATATCACAGATGAAGGCAATGAGTCTGGAGTTCTGAGGGATCACCTCTCTGAAAATAAGGATGGAGAAGAAAACAGTTCCATCTCTCATGAAAATGAAGAGACACTGAATAGTAGTGTGGACAGCGTTGACAGATGTTTAGATGAATCCATTGATGATGCATCTATACATTCAGGTACTATAGATTTACACTTTCCTCTTCACTGCATTTTTTAAAAGTCTAAGATACAAAAAAAGGATTGTTGCTTGTCCACGCACTTTAAATATACCATAATACAATGACTCCTGCAGTTTTTTATTTTCTGTTTTCTGAAGCTCTTCTATTGCAAATTATATCAAACATAAAATTGGCCTGTTTTTTATAAGGGGATGGCTGTAGGAGACTGTACTGTGCACTCTATCTGCTACCAGTGAATAGTGGATGAGTATTGTCCATTTAAATCAAATTGGAATTTAGAGA